GGCGCTGGATGCGGCGCAGCGCACCTTCCTAAGACACTGCGGGACAACTTCCAGTCGCGCTTCAACAACGCAGCACTGACGGCAGGTCTGTTTCCAAATTTTTCTTCATGAACCACATCGCTAACTGCGCGACAAAGGGTACGGCATGTCGGAGCTGGTGAGCCAGATTGCGCCCGTCTGGTCAACACCTCTACTGATATACATTCAGACTTACAGTCTTGCTCGCACTCCCCCTGACGGCCTGTACGGCTTGAAGGTACCAGACACGTCGTGCGGTCTCATCAACTCTGGCGCTGAGGTCCGCACGGTGCGCGAGGAAGGCTCGGAGGCCGACGTCGATGAGCCTGGCGAGCTGTGGGTCAAGGCGCCTACCGTGGCCCCTGGCTACTACGGGAACGAGAACGCGACACGGGAGACTTTTGTCAACGGCTGGCTGAGGACGGGAGACTGGATGCGCATCGACAAGGACGGGTTCTTGCAGTACGCTTCGCTGTCATGAGGGACGTCGTCACCATACTAACTTCGTGTGCTGCGTAGCTTTGTCGAGCGCAAAAAGGACACACTCAAGGTCGGCGGAGCGCAGGTCTCACCAAGCGAGATAGAAGAGGTCCTGCATGCACAGCCAGACGGACTCATTATCGATGCATGCGTCGGCGGGGTGTCTGGTGGCAGGACGTCGGACGAGAAGGTTCCGCGGGCTTGGATTGTGCTCAGCGACAAGGGCAAGCGCCGAGGAGCCGATGAGACCATTAAAGTCCTGGAGACGTGGACTAAAGAGAATCTGAGCCCATACAAGAGGCTACGGGGTGGGTTCGAGGTCGTCGACGAGGTAAGATCTCGCTGTCTTTCGTGTGCAGGGTCATTCGTTCTGACATGGGCCGAGCAGATTCCAAAAAATCCGACGGGAAAGATGTTGAGACGTCTATTGCAGGATAGATTTGAAGCCCAGCATGCAGCTAGAGCGAAACTGTAGATAGATTGCAACTGCAATGCGTTCCCTTTCAGTTTATCTATGCGCGCGTCAAGGCAACTACCGATCTCTCGCAGCGCTAAGCGGTAGCCGCCGTGCCAGCCCCTTCCTTCTCTTGCGGTTGCAGGTCAACCGCCATTCTCTCTATCTACTGCATTGCATTTCTGCCGGACATATCTGCACTGCTTCGTGTATCTGTCTGAAACTGCATAGCGATGACTTGTCTACGCTTTTTAGCTATTCTCTTTTGATGTGGCTCTCAGCGGAGCTGGAGCTTTGTACGCCGGCAACTCAGGCCACAGCACCTCGTCCTACACCAAAGGCCTCCGACCGCGATTTCTATGATGTCTATGATGATCCCAATAGCTTGTTGATAGCTCGCCAGCCGGACAGTACGGACTTTGGCAACAGTAGCAGCACCCTTATGTCTCGAGACGTCTGGGGCCCGAAAATTGGCATATAGTCTTATGCGAACTCTGTGTGGATGGCTAGCACTACTGCGATGGTCACTTATTCTGCCAGCTCAAGAAATCTTCGCTTTCTAGGTGGTACTTACCTCTACAGGGATACTTACAATTCTCTCTTACTGCACAAATTCATATGTCTGATCAGAGTAAGCCAGGCATAGACTAGTACTGAAACAGTACTGTATCGCTGTCCGCCAATCTTATCTCAGCACTACCCTCTTCAGAGACGTTGATATCATATGATTGCTTGCCTGTTCGCACTCGTCCTTCTACGTGATATATGGAGAGGGTCTGGACAAAGACGACTTCCTCCTGATCCTCACTCCGATCCCATCTTGAGACACTTGAGGGTGTTTCCCACAAACAATTCTGAAATGACATTCCGCGAGTGGCCGAAGCACTACGGTAAGCAATCCACTGGATGGGAGACGTATGGATATCAACCCTTGATCTGTATTACCCCTATAGGGGATATCATCTGCATGTGCTTCCTTGTCAGCCCCATAATAATTCTTAGCAGCAAGCAGACGGTTATGGACCTTTTGGTGAAGAGAAGCGCGATTACAGTGATCGCTCCGACTTCCACGGTCTGAGTTTGTCAGGACGTTCCATTCTTCCCACCGCTCGCGGCTTCATGGCAATGCAGGATCGAGTGAGACACCACCCTTCCGTTCCAACGGTACGGTTCATACATCTCCCGGTAGTTTTGTAAGGTCGCCGTGCAAACTCTTAATGCAAAGAAGCGTGGAGACCTTTTGTCCCATTCGGACGCAGCATGCGCACGCGCTGCTGAAGAATATGATCTATCACAAACCCACGAACTATCTCAATGCGCCTGTAGGTCGGTATGTTCCACCAACGGCAGACGAAATGCGGCCGATGCACATGTTTTTAGATTTACCGCCGGTGTCACCCTTGACATTACTTACGGCATTACAGTCGAGTCGGACCAAGATGCCTCCATTGAGCTCTCGCATAGAATCCCGAAGGTGCTTGCTCAATACGCTGACGGCCTTCCCGCTCCTTGACTTGTCACTGGACAGATAATAATTACCTTACGATGCGGACGGAGACAAGTCGAAGTTTAACCTGGTCAAGCGACAGCTAGCTTGGTATCCCGACTGACTATGGTCTGTATCACTCTCGCCGGCATCTGACAGGCCGCCGGGACTGCTCGACTATTTTTTGTTCCCATGCATCTGGAAACTGGGAGCACAATGGGGAGTATTGCCGAGGAACAGGTCAAGCGGCTCAAGGCGAGTGCGATACAGTGACCGACAAAAGTAGCGCGCATGACTATAAAGAGTGTCGAGCTTGCTCAATACCTTGCCAATGGCTAGTACTACCAGCACAACTTGTATATGTATCATATTACACTATACTGAGGCTATTTTTTGAGCTATATAAATTGCCCAATTATGCAGGCACCGGGAGGCTGTTGTTGCTTTCCTCAGAATCTGCTCCGATTTTGATCTATCTGTCTCTCCACAAATACCAGTGAGATAAATGTAATTTTATTCGTAAACAATTTATACATGGGTAATATGCTCCTGTCATTTTTATAGCTGACATGCCGTGCATCTCATGAAGTTCTAGGCTATGTTACACTAGTGGCTCACATCCTTACTGTATAGTCATTGGGTATATTAAGAACAGCTAGACAAACAGATTGTTACTATACATTCTTATATTGTAATAGTATTATCTAAGTCATATACAGCAGTACAAGCTTGTACAAGCTTCCAGCATTATACTCCTAATTTCTGAATTATGCAGCACAGAGTAGCCAATATAGCTGGGCTTGTAATTCACTGATTAGGAGAGAGGGTATACTGTAAAATTTATCCATTAGTCTATGCGTGAGGCTACTATATATCACCAATAATAAATATCAGTCATACCACTCCTTGCAGAGTTGTGAATATTTCAGAAATGTGGCATATTTTGAGTAAAACAATAATAGTGCTACAGTATCTACACAATTTGGCAATTTGTATAGCTCAAATCATAGCCTTAATATAGTACTACACAATCCATATATAACTTGTACCAGTAGTGCAAGTCGTTAGGAAGCTATCGAGCAAATTCGACACCCCTTTGTAGCCACGCGCGCTACTTTTGTCGGTCACTAGTGCGTCCCCGCACTAATTTTTCGCACGGTTTGAGCCAGTTAGTTCCGTTTTGATTAGCTGGAGAAGAAACAGTGCGTTTCGTACCTTCGGTTCTCATATACGCTCACGCGGTCCGTAGATATGGGCGAGCATCTTGGCTATGATCTTGTTCATGCTTCCGCTGCACCCCAAAGTGCAGAGAAAGGCATTGATAACGTCGTTAGTCCTGAGTGGCTGCCTAACTTCAGTGACGGCAGTAGTTCGCTGCCCTACGCAGAATGCATCGCACAAGAACCACGGAGGTAAGTGCCATCATGTCTATGTCTACAGCCAGCTGATGCAAGTGTACCGTGCAGATGGTATTCCGTCGTTCCGCTAGGTCTGAAGCTCGATATCAAACTCTAGCGCTACCACTCATTCTGTTCGTTTCTCGGAGCCTCCACACCGTTTGATGCGAGACGACGCCTACCGAGGCATGTTCATCCCGGAAGACACCACGGTCTTGGTGAACGCTCCTTTCATGTCGGGCCGCCACTGACTTGTTTTTCTCTCACGCCATTTCCAACGGCGAAGACGTCTGCAGGACCCCAGAGCGGTTCTATCCCGAGCAGTACCTCCTCAGCACGGCGCAGAGCTATTCCCGACAGGTACTGCATTCGGCTATGGCCGTAGGCAGGCCCTTTGTGCGTTTTCCGTGCCTTCATAAGTTTATTATAACTATGCAGGACGTTCCCTGGCCGGTACGCCGCCGGGGCGAGCGTCTGGATCGTTACAGCGATCGTGCTCGCGGCCTTCGACATAGAGCTCATAGTAGGTGGAAATGGAAAACCAGTGTATCCGGTGCCAGAATCTGGGGGCAATTTCATATCGAGCGTGCAGTTCTTTCGTTGTTCCTCTCGTTTAGGAGTGGAGGTTCAATGACCACTCTGTAGCCATTTAAACCCTTCCCGTGCGGCCCGGGACCGAGCTCTGAGAAGGCCAGGGAGTTTCTGAGCCAGCTATATTTGTTCATTCAGTTTCATTTTTGCCTGTGATAACAGAGCAGCGAGCTCGAGCTCTCGTTTGGAAGCTATCTTATGTTGAGGTTTCCTGAAGTGGGGCAAATCGAGAGGCTTATCTCCAGAACGATCAAGCGCCTGTTGTCCCGACTGTTCCTAAAAGTTACTCTGCTCCTGTGGACGACGACGACGACGTTTGTCTCAGACTCTGTCTGTACGCGATGCTATGCGACGATATTCTTATGAACTACGCTATGCCTTTGCTGGCGACCGATGGTCCGGTTCAACCTACTTGCGTAGGGGGTTCAGCGGCAAGGAGTGCGGATAGTGTGCTGTGAGGTACGTTGCGGAGACGTTGGAACCCAGTGCGGCCTAGAGAGCTTAGCAGCTCTGGAGTACATAAACAGCGCATGCATCCATTGTATTGGGTGAGTAGAGCCCCTCGCTGAAGGTCTTCTTCAATGCCACTCATCTTCTTCGTAGATCTTACGCTATGTGGCTTCTCTTCGTGAGGCCGACAGGCCAAATATCATCCTAGAGCTTCAGAAGTGCGAGATATCGTGCATGCTGATTGTGCCAGCTGACGGCTGCGAGGTTGGGCTTGAGGTTCGTCCCTTATTGCGATATCCTTCCCCACTATTCCCCATGACGCCGAAACCGCCGTCGACGTAAACGTCGATGCACAATCTTACGTGCACCGTAGACGAGAACATGCCTCACCCCGGAGTCCAAAATGTAGACGAGCGCGCTATTCAACCCAGTCAAGAAGACAAGCCATGCTGACACCTGAACCATGCTCTCCGTTTAACTCTACGGCTGAGAGAACAATGGATAGCTCGTGCTGCGCTTCGACTGTCTAGAGGAATCATGTTCCCTGTGAACCTGAGCGCCTGCATTTACAAATATTGGGCACCGATGCGCATTGTTCTCATGGGCTGGCAGCCCTGGCGGGACTCGACCTTCGACCAGGCCTGGAAGACGCAGCTCGCCTCATGCATGCCTCCCGCACCTTTTCGCTCTCGGACCTCCTCCCGGTGGGCCGAGCGCTGACAAAGCTATGTTCGCCGCCGGACATTGCCTGTCGGCACGCACAGATTCTCAGTGGGTGCACAGTTTTCCTGTCAAGCGATTTGACTTTTGCGTACGCGACCTCAGGGTCGACTGCGTTTCGCTCTTGTATCGTCCGGTGCGACGTCCCGAATGCCGATAACTATCGCATCAAGACGTGTCGCCTGCTGCAGCGCAATGTGCCTTTCTGCACGCGTACGGTCTCGGTGCTTCCCATACCGGTCAACACCTCGAGGACGAATGCGGCATGCCGTAACGATCCACCCCGTTTGTCTGACATGCTCGTGCAGGGCAAGACTCGCAGCCAAGGGGCAGCACTGGCGAGGCTGCTCGCCCACGCGGTGGAACGTGTGCCGGTCTGGACCGGCGCTGTCCCGCCGTACGTACAATCAACGAGCCCCCCAGCACGGCATGGGCTCGTCGGCGTTCCGAGCAGAGCCTCAGGCCTGACCCTGATCTGCTGTCCGGCGAAGGATCCGAACCCTGGTTCTCTCCGAGCAGCGGCAGGACGCCGCCGCCTGTTGTCGACGCTGGTCCAGGTCGCGCTGTGCTCGCCAACAGTGGTCCACAACTGCGTCACCGTGTCGTCGTCTTGGCGAACGCGCTGAAGCTGCAGCAGAGCGGAAAAAAGAGCTCGGCACGTAGCTAGGGGCGCTGCCGGTCATTGCCTGGGGTCAAGTCTTAGTTGACTACTACCGGAGCGCGGGAAGAGTTCGCAGGGTTCGCAGGAACACATCAAGAATGCTGGCAACTATGGAGGTCCCACCGCGAGCAGCGACTATTGTCATTCGTAGATGAGCTTGAGGCAAATGTGCGATGGAGTTACCGTCGTGCTGTATGTATTGGTGTTTCTATTGCAATGTCCTGCATATTTTGGTATGCTTTCGCGAATATATTGTACCCGTATTCGCGGACTTCAGTTTTGGGCGCCTGCTTGTCGACGTCGACAAGAGCCTTCTACACATCGCCGGGTCCCTGTCAGCTCTCTCCTTGCCCTCTACTTCTACTATCTCGTGCGTTTCCAGCGACATTAAGTCCGATATGTTCTCCTCTCCTCCGCGAACGTGCCTGGTGGCCATGACGCACATGCACGCGTTTTGCGTTGGGTCCCATAAGCGCACGCCCGGAGATGTTGGAGTTTAACATTTTGCTCTACCACCGCCATGTCTACCCCACTGCCCGAGCATCCAGCGGGCGAAGCAGAGTCGCATGTGTTGTTGCTTGCGGAGGAGTCGGACGCGGCGCTATCGCCGACGGCTGAGGGACCGGAGCCAACGCCTGGCTTGGATGGAACTCCCGTTCGTTGTGAGTAATCGAATTGGCTGTCTGAGGGACGTGTCTCATTGACATGGTTATCATCAGGGTACGATGTGAGTTTTAGGATATACTTCTTGGTTTCCAGACCCTGATGAAGCGCGATGGACAGGCCAATCGTACAGAGTCATACACACGCATCGTGCCTTTCCAAGAGGTCCATGATACCAGCGTGGAGTGCGTACTTGAGATGACTGGGGGAGGCTTCGAGCTGACTGGTCCTGCGATAGGTTCTTCTACAAGCCCATTACTCTGTCCGTTCTTGGTGTAGCGATGGCAATACTGGCATATGTCGCAACTACGCAGGACGTACTAGAAGAAGGTCGCGATAAGCGTAGCGTGTACGTCCCCCATCCTTACAGGCAGACCGAAGCTGAAATTCGTGCAGTGGCGCATGGGCAGCTATCGCTGGATTCCTTCTCTTTGGCATCATCCAATTCCGCGACGGTCCCTTCGTTAGACCCCATCCCGGTACGGCCAATTTACCTGCCTGGAAGCTTCATTGATGCTCATCCACGACATTATATCAGTATTTTGGAGGCTGGTCCTTGGCGTCAACTTGTTATATGAACTCGCTCTGGTTTTCCTACTGTTCCAAGACTTGAACTCTGCTCGGGCAATGATGAAGTACCTCGACCCCAATTTGGGAAAGCCGTTGCCTGAAAAGAGTTATGCCGAGAATTGTGATTTTACACCTCAGAACGTTTGGGTACGTGTGCGTGTGATCACCGGGCTTACAGAGGCTGAATCGCATATTACAGAATGCGGTCGATATATTCTGTCTAGCCCATGCGATTGGGTGGTTTGGAAAGGCACTCATCCTTCGCGATTATTGGTTCTGTTGGGTACGATGCTGTGTGTTTTCTCTCGAGAAACACCGCCTGACATGTGTCGCCAGATTCTCAGCATCGCTTTCGAGCTCGCTGAATATTCCTTACAACACCAGCTAGCTAATTTCGCCGAGGTGCGTGGTTCTAGATCGCATCTCGTGCCATGCCGAGCTCACTTCGTGATCTAGTGCTGGTGGGATCATGTGCGTGCCCTAACCCGAGTTAGAGAACAGTGGCTGGGTCGCTGACGACCATATCCAGTGGGTGCTGGATGTTCTTATCTGCAATTGGCTAGGAACCTACCTAGGTGCGGCACGTTTATCAGTATGACGTTCTTCGCAGGCGTCTTCGGCGACTCACGAGATGCCTTTATCACCGTGCAGGCATGAAGACATGTCAATATTTCGAAGTCAAAGTAAGACACTGAATCACCGACGTCACCTATTTGGCTCACTGTGTCCTTGTGGATTTCCTCCTGCAGAAATACCAATGGCGTGGCTTCCGACAGATCCGGGGCGTTCGCGGCAAGACTCGCAGGGTGATTAGCCAGTTCTCCCCGGCAGATTGGACGACGTTCAAGTGGGAAGGTACGGCTGATTTCACGCACTACGTCGCAGTGGTTCTGCTTCTGGCCGGCTTTCTTGCCGCCGAGCTCAACCCGTTCTATCTCAAAGTGCGTCGCACGTTCTACTGAGCTGCCAGCGTGCTAAGCGAGCCCGTGCCCCTGCCAGACCCTGCTCTGGATGGAACCGGAGCACCCGTTCGTGACCGCCCGTCTCGCGGGTATCTTCCTCTGTGCTCTTCCAGCGGTGAGGGAGTACTATCAGTACGTGGGTGACCCGAGGTACGTTCGGCAGCGTCTGCCGAAGGTGCGGACATTGATGGGCCCTTTCGGACAGGCGTGCGGTGCGGATGGGCCAGCACATCTGGCTCCTTCTGGCGACGATCTGCACAGAGCTGCTCGCGATCACGAAGTGGAGCAAGGGCCAGTTCCCCGTGCCGCTGCCCCAGCGGGTCAAGGTCGCGTGGGCCGTCGGCGGCGCGCTGCTCGTGCTGTACCCGACCGTGAGAGTGCGTGCGCGGTCTTGTTGACGTGTCGGCATCGTGTGACTGACTTTGACCCCTCCGGCTTCTCGTGCCGTGTTGTTGACAGTTTGGCGTGCCCGGCATCAGAAAGTATCTGCGCCGGCGGTCTCGGAAGGCCAAGGTGCGATAGCACAGCCGCCTCACTCCCCCGACGCTTCAGGGCGGGCAGCGTCATGTGTCGTCATGGCCAGTGATGTCAGGTCGTCGTCCAGGGCGGGAGAACGCGAGGCGCGATCTGGTCAATGACTTCATGCGCTGCCATAGCTATGCAGGAATATATCCGATTTTGTTGTCCGCTCGTCATTCCGTTCAACCTTCGGGACGTCGGATCGATCTGTCAAAGCGCAGGCTTGGCACAGCACAAGTGTCTCGGCATCAGATGTGCGAAGCGTGCACGGGCGGGCGCGAAACGGTCTATTTTCATCTCCAAGATTTGCGAGGGCCACAATGGCGATGGGGGGAGGGTTAGGTGATGTGCGCTTCCCTAATTTGTTCACTCAGCGAATAGAGTTAGGGCCAATAGGGAATGGCCGCCTGGCCGTGCCGATAACTATCGGCCTCTGCTCGTCGATGCCGGCCGAGCGGTCCAGGAGATGTGTACTGTGGGCTCTGGCGGAGATTGGGGGACGGTACTGCCGTTTGCCGTGCGTTGCGATCATGGCCAAGTACTTGGGAACAGCTCCTCGCTTCCGGCAGAAGGCAACTCACGCACTGTCGACGTCGCGCAGTCTCGATATATGGCCTGGCCCTGCGGCCTTGTCGCAGTCTCAGAACGTCCTTGGGCAAAATACGCTTGTACGGAACGGAGATGACAACGGTCAAATTTACAGGACAAATATACAACTGGTATTCGCCTGCGATCATCCTTTTAATTAATGATTAACCTGACAGGTTGGACAACCGGGCGGGGGGACGGGTAGAAATTGAGTAGGACGAGCGGGATGAACAGAGGTTATGACATTCGGATGTCCGGGACGGTGCGGTGTCGGGATCGTCGGTGGACCGATCGAGCAGCGAGGACCGGCAGCGCGGGCGAATGTTCCGAACTCTAGAGTGAAGTCCGTTTCGCGGGAAAGCGAAAATGGGGCAGGGGATCAGCCCGCCGCCCAGGTTGCGATGCTTGAACCTCTGCCGCGCAGACCCTGACGGCAGCCTGCGTCTTGGCGGACGCCACCCTCTCGATGCATCCGGATTAAGCAGGGAGTGTGAGATCCCCACCTGGGAACTGCGCGAGCTGCGAAGCTTATAGGCTACAGTGTAGCTAGCGCGGCGTTTCGAACCGCAGGCACAAGCGCGCGAGTTCCTGCGGCCTTCAAGATGCCCGCACGACGTCATGCTCGGCTAACGAGCTCGCGACGCGGAACGCAATGACGAGGGCGCGCGGGCGGCCTCCGTGCTTCGTGACGAGCGGCGGCGCGGCCTCTTGCACGATCCCCCAAAACGGATATGCGTCCGCCGACACAGTTCGCAGTTGCACGCTCAGGGTCGACGGGCGCCATCACTTGAAGGTTGAAAGCACGACACATTCGAGGCGAGGAAGAACAGCGTCCGCACCGACATCCGGCACTGCCTACGGGGCACTTGCAATTGTTTCTGATGCGCTCTTGTCGTCCATCCAGGGATGGCGGGAGCGGTAGTCTCCAGAAACGACGTACAATTGTGCAGTGTCCGAGACAGAATATCTGCTACTTTGTTTGAAACAGGCTTCGCAACCTGGTCTTCGTGATACGGGGATCAAATCTTTGTCAGTCTCTATTTTGACTTGTCAAGTGCAAGGTTTGTGAATGACACGGCTCACGGGTAGTCAGTTACAGAGCACGTGCGGATGCATGGGCCGAACTGGCCGCTCGCAAGCGATAGAGACGCGAACACAAAATGCTATAGGCGAATGCGGCGAAAGATCCGGTGCGGGTTTCTTCCCTGGCGACGCAGCGCACGTCGTGCAGCTGTGCGATGTAAACTACACATGCCAAAATTGCGCAGACGGGCGTTGGAAATTTGGGCGTTCCAGCCACCGGCACGTCGTTCCGAAGGTCGTCGGGGCGAGGGCTGCCGCAGAGGCCGCGGCCGGCACGACGGCAACGTGCGTGAGTCAGTCCGTGCATATCCGCGCGCGGTTTGAACTTCGTGAGACTTTGGGCGGCGCGGGTGCTGCAATGCTGCGGGCTGGCGGCAGGTCTTGTGTCTCTCCGGCCGGCGGTCTGTAAGATAGGGTTTCGAGAGATGCGGGCACAGCAATTGCGAACACTCGGCACGCTGCCATTCCGAGGCTGGTAGCACTTGTGGCGTCGACCGTCGCCGTAATGGGTGCGCCTTCCACCTTCGTCAAGGGTCGTCTACGGACGAGCAGCCGGTGTATGTAAATATAAACCTCAAGAAAAGACCGTGTCAACGGCCAGGCCATTATGAGAGAGCCGCCCTGTTCTGATAAGGCAGAATGGAGAGAGCTTCGTGTCCAAGGGTAGGCCCCAATGTGAACCGAGCATATGCATGTATCCCCAGGGCTACACATGTGTAGGAAACATGAGTCAGCGTGTAGATCTGCGCCAACCACAGATACCTTAGTTTTTCTGCTCAAGCAGCCCTGTAATGCAGTATCCAAAGTTTTGTTGTTGGCCCTGTGCAGGGTACACTGAAGGTCAAGCTCATGATCAAGCGGGAGCACTCTCCAACCCACATTCTGCCGTAGCGTGGGAACAAAAACCATTTTAGAGTCATTTGGGCGGTTCCCGGGCGTCAACCACAAACTTCCTCGTCCCTTCCTCTTTCCCAACCCTATTCTCACATGCCTGTAACAGGCCCATCTGCAGATGCACAGTAGACGCTATGAAGTGGCTCCTTCGTGAGCTCTAGATTGCTGCAGCGGTTACGCTTCAAGCTGGTATGAAGTTTCCGGTGCTTTTATTACGTCTATGGTGACCTTATTCTTCATTCTGGGATGTTTTCATGTGTCTCCCCTATCTGGCCTTCTTCTGTACTTGATCCGCCGAGTCCAGCATATCGTTCCAGCCTACGCGGAAGAGGCCTGTAACCATCACTGCGCACGCAGCATGCTGCAGCATCCCCTCGCCGCGACGGCAAACCTGATACAGGCAAGCCTGCTGTATTCATCCAGGGTCGTCGACGCCAACCCATGATAGCCCTCGTACAAGCTTCGGAGGCGTAGGCCCCATTCCTGTGCCGTCTGTCGTGACCCGTGTCGTGACTTCGCTTGACATTTACCGCGAAAGGCGATCCCAGGCTTCCCCTGTCCGTGCCGTTCTTTTTGATGAGGGATCTTCCAGAGGGTCCATCTGTCCTTTTACCACCCGGTCGGTTCTGCTTGCTCTCCCGGAGAGGGCGCCTCTCGGCCTCGTGAGCCGGCCACAGCGTCGTGCTCCTGCGCTGCCCCACGACCCCTCGCCCCTACGCCCTGCGGGTCGCCAGCAAGCCCAATACGCGCGGGCGTCGCCTGCCGTTCCCTGTAGTGCCCGCGAACGTCTTCTGTCTCGGGTTTTACGCTACATTGCTCTCCTTCGGGCGCTGCTGTCAGCTTTTTTGGCGAGCAGAATCGAGGCAAGCCTCTGTCGTGCCTCAGGGTCGTAGCGCCGGACCTTTCCGGTCTTGGCGCACTGTGTAGCAGGCCTGAGTATTTTTGAGCACCCCTTCCCCTGCCAGTCTGACGCCCTCGAGCACAGGTGTTATAGCTTCGCCCGAGGCATGGCGGACCTTCCGAAAGTAACGTTCGCTGTGCCCTCTCCACGACAACCTTGCTTACCCGTGTTCATATGTGCGGTTACGGCAACAGCGCTATTGTAATCCACACAATACAACGTGCATTCTCATTCGCCGGGGCCCTTAATCATGAACTGAAACGCCACATTCTGATTCTGCCGCGTTGGTCGCCCAGACCTGGCTTATGCTCTCGTGGCTGGGAAGTTGAGCCTGTGTGCGCTAGTAACTGCTACGGGCGATCGACGCCCGTCGAAAGCCGGGGGTGGGACGACGACGTGCTTTCACATTGCACCCTCTTTACGATGGCAAGCAGCGTGGGCTGCGTGATCTCTGCCCGCTCGATCACGACTGCTCCGGTCCCTTTACGGCGATTCCGCCAGACAAAGCCTGTCAGGGAAGAGTCGCCGTGGAGGGCCGAAGGCGTACGGACGCCTGGGTGTTTCGAGGACACCATTGGGCCATCAGCCGATTCATTAGTCCCTCTTCGACGCTCCTCCCGCGGCTATACTGTACCACGAAGCTCCGGCGCGCCACTCCTCCCAGGCGTTCCCCTCGGCAGCGGCAGCGGGATGCTATGCCGAATCAAGGTTTCGGTGCGCTTTGATCGACGAGGAGTCCGGCGATGCGTCCGCTCGGGACGACGGGCGCGAAGCGCGAACAACCGGTGCGCGACGTTTTGGCTTGGGGATTACGTAAACGAGCATAGAGGCGGCACGAGATCCGGAGCGGTGTCCTATCGTCGTCGGGCTGAGGCGGGCCCCGGTCGTCGCTGACACTGGTGACCTAGGGGTGGTGGTGTGCGGATGGCACACGATCATCAGGTGAGATTGGTCGATGTCGCTGCCGTCGGAAGGATGCGAAGGTGAGAATCCCCGGCGGTGAATGTCATTAGTGTTTGGGCCGGAAATAATAGACGCATGGCAGTGTGCGCTGGGGACGGTGCCTGGGGACCGCAGGGCAGGTGGCATGTCGTGATTGATGACACCCCGAGGTCTGCGGCGGGGCGAAATGTTGAGAGTGCGAGGGAGCCGGGATCTGAATCTAATCAGCCCGAGAGCGGCTGTCGTGCCGGGTGAGGTTGTCTGTACGTTATACTAAGGCGCCGGGGAAATCTCCCTTCAGAAAGAGTGAATCAATTAGAACTTCAGGGACGACAGAGCGTGTAGACCACCGTCCCAGTTCGGCACGGGCTCTTTGAATTCGTCCAAACGCTGCATCGCTCAAGCCCAACATCATTTAACCTCGATTTTGGCGCTACTCGAGGAACATAAAGTCTCCTCCTCCCAACATCTCATTCGCTCCTCACTCCTCTTGCCTCACAGGCCCTCCCACCAATCTTCTACTGTATGAGCTCCGACTCCTCATCGAGCAGCACCATCACAATGGCTCCAGTGCAATTCAAAGGCGAAATCATGGACTTCGACCTCGGCGTCGAAATCGACCACCGCAAGCGGTATGACGAAGCTTTCGCATAAGGAAACCCAGATCGCTGATCATTCTCGACATACACAGACGTCGCAACCGGACCACCCAGTCTTGCCTCAACTGCCACACTTCCAAGCGAAAGGTATGTGCCCCGCTATTCGTTTCCCCACCCCCAGGCTAACCCCGGAGCAGTGCGATAGGAAGCGCCCTTGCCAACGTTGCATCCAACTTGGCCTGGTACGCATCCACATACAACATTGCTATGTTCCAATTCTGACCATCGCTGCAGACCGGCCTTTGTGTATACGAAGTTGACGACCCCGCTGCGAGGTACGTGCGCTTCTTCCTCCTTGCCATTCCCACGTGCTGAAGTTTTCGCTTCTCCCATCCTAGGGATGACCCAAACATCGACGAGACGACTCGTCTGCGCAACAGGATAGCAGAGCTCGAGTCTCTTGTCCGTGAGCTTCGGGGGAAGCCTCACCCACGATGGGCAGATCCCAACTTCTGCGACGGTGACGCGTCGGAGAAGTGGCATTCACGGTCAACAAGGAGGACCGCTCTCTTCCAACGGCAACGAAACCAGTCTTCGGGTGCCGTCAAGCAAGAACAGTCTGCTGAGCAGCAGCAGCAGCAGCAACAGCCACAGCTGTACCGCATGTCTCCGTCTCCCGCGCCACAGCTCGCTTTCGACACCCACTGCGGCTCAGGTGACCTGCAATACTCTCCCTCGACCTCCTCGAGCTCGTCGATGAGCTATCCAAACACAAGGCAATCAAGCCTCTCGATGTCTGCCTCAGACGTGTACTACCACCAGCCATACGGCATGCGCACGCCGGAGTCGACCGACCCATCTTGCACTTGCCTCACCAACCCGGCCGCAGGCGCGCCGCTCATCTCGCTCACGCATCAGCTGCAGAGCACCGTCGAGCTTCTCCGTCAGCTGCCGGAGCACGTCGCGCGGCACAACTGCACGATTTTGAAGCGCATCGTGCAGCTCAACGATCTGATGCAGTAAGTCCCGTACGCCTTTTTTCTCACAGCGCTCCGCGTGCTGATCGTCCCTTTGCCCTTGCAGCGGCGGCTCAGGCGAGGCCACACCACCGACGCCCTTCGACGGGCTCACGACGCCGCCCGACAGCGAGCTGCTCTCTCCCGTCTCGACGTCGAGCCATGCGAGCATGGCTGCGCCTATCCACCACGACTGGCCCGCGATCTCGGCGACCGCCAGCCAGTACGACTCGTACTTCCCCGTGTCGCCGGGCGACGGCAGCATGTATCACAAGTCGTATCAGATTAACTAGCTTCTCCCGTCCCCCCTGCGTCACGGGTCGTTGCGTCTCCCCCATGCATGCTGATCGTCGCTTGGCTCGCTCCCTCGGTCGTATTAGTATCTTGGTCGTCGTGTAGCTCTACCTTTCCCTGGAGATCCAGCAGGTGTGCATATTAGACTATGATTATGTAGATGATTCGCTTGTACTTGTGTAATGCCTTTTTACGATTCATGCAGCCATGATATATATACACAGTGTCATGCATCATGCATCATGTGTGATCATCTAGCTTGTTCGCTAAAAGCAGAAGGTATCGAGGCAGGCTCATCGAGGTTCTTTCCGATGGTGGAAACTTTGCCCCAAGTCACGACGTAATGAAACTCTAACTTGCGCTGCCCAAGCCGTAGCCGAGTCTAGTCTTTTCCTGCTGCGAACGAGCCGCAGTCTAGCTGGTGGTCCTATAAACGTGTCTTTATCTGCCTGCGCATTATTTGCAAAATATCCCTTGGAAATTGTCTCAATGTCTGAGTGTAGCTCCGGGTGCTTCTTCATTGCCCGACATGCAACCTTGGCCTATTCGGCTGGGAGGGCGCGCCTGCCTGACTGGGCAAGAGGCGCTCGTCGGCACGGCTCGTCGGCATGGCTCAGCGGCATGGCTCGGCGGTGCTGCCCGCCGCACTTGACTCAGCCTCGCGAGCAACAACTTGAAGCATCGGGCGGCATCCAACGTTTTGACTAAGCTCTCCATTAGTTCCGTTTCGTTTGTTGTTACTTATTTGAGTTCCTTGTTATGACCCTGAGGTCAAACCGCGTGCACAGCACAAGACTTTCGAAGCAATACGAAGTGTCGTAATGAAACACCCTCCATCTTCTTCCTCTCCTTTTCCTCCCTGTCTTACCCTGCAGGCTGCCCGCGGCAGCTCTGAGCGGCCCCCTTGGGAAGGATACCTTGTCGCCTCTTGTCATCTCTCGCAGCCTAGGCCGACTCGGCCGATGCCATGAGTTAATCCCCGATGCCGGCTACACTGACTCGAGTCTTGACTTGACCTCCGTCCGCATCCTCTCCATCTACACACACGGTCTTAGTATCCATCTACAACCCACACAGTGCGTTCACACACGGTGAGAGATCCATTTCAACGATGTGTGTCGGATTCTGGTCACTCGAGCACCCGGATTACGCTTTGTAAGTGCGTCACTCTGACCCTGCCGTGCTTCGCATTACGCCTGACGCCGTCCGCAGGATCCTCTGTGGAAACAGAGATGAATATCTCTCGCGCCCCACCACGGCGGCCCATTTCCACGGCTTCGAAATGGATATCGCCGAGCAGCCTGGTGGGAACGTACTCTCAGGGCGCGACCTGAGCGCGGGAGGGACGTGGCTCGGGGTCAACCGCGCTGGGCGTGTCGCGTTTCTGTACGTCAGACCCCACTCCTGCTCCTGCGTGCGTCATAGGGTCCTGACTGTGCCGTCGTCGCGTTTCCCCAGCACGAACATCACCGAAGAGCACCTGTCGTACACGTCGACGCGAGGCGCGCTCGCGTCGGCATTCCTGCTGCCCGACCGCGCGGGCGAGAGCTTACAGGACCACGTCGGTCACGTCGTGCGCGAGAACAGGGCCTACGCCGGTTTCAACCTCCTGCTTTTCGGACCACGGGCGTCCGCGTCTGCGCCCGGGGGCGTGCTGTCGTATGACGCCGCCTGCGTCACGAACCGTGGTGGGGGAGGCACGATCACCTGCAGACCTCTCGCGGACAACGAGCGCCGGTGCGGCGCGCTGTCCAACGGCGTGGAAGGCCAGGGCGCAGAGGCGTGGCCCAAAGTGTGCCTTGGCTCATCGATGTTCTCGGACGTCTTACAGTTTGTCACGCCGGAGACGACGGAGGCCGACCTCGTGCAGCGCCTGTTTCATCTGCTGACGTGCGTGCATCCCGCTGTCTTCGCTCGTACTGTCTGACGGCACGATGCTTATTTTTGAGAAGCTGGCGAAGCGAGCATCCGCCGCGTGCGCGTGCAGAGTTGCGAAATACCATTCAGATCGAGCCCATGCAGGTACGTGCGTCCGAGACGTCAGACGGCCTGCTCTACGGCACCAGGCTCTCGACGATTATCCTCGTGCGCCGTGACGGCTCGGTGTCGTTTTACGAGAGGGACATCTGGGTGCTCGATGAGCGCGGTCAGCCGACCAAGGGGGACGAGAAGAACGAGCGCGTCTTCAAGTTCCGGGCTGACATTCCGAACACCCAGACATCATAGCAGCTCGCTGCGCAACCCAAACGGAAGCCCGGAGCTCATGTAACATCGAGATAATTACCTTCTGGATAATAGATGGCGCTTTGCGGCGGGCGATCATACCAAGAATCAGATACGAGGTTGCCCCGTGGGGTATGCTGGACGGTAAGTTACCGTCGGCAGACTACATATGCGCGGCGGCACAAGACAATCAGCAGATTAGTCTCGCTGGCCTTCAGCCGATAGGTTACTGGACAATGCACATAGGCTGAAAAGCACCGCCCTGGGGCAATACCAGCTGATCATGACTGACGAGGCGAACACTGCGATCCTGATTTCAAGTTAAACTGAGCACACAAGCATTCTCGCACGTAGTCCTGCCACAAGCCCGTACGTAAGTTATGAGTACGATCTGCGTGCCGCGGGAGCCCGGCGGAGTGAAGTATAATACCAAGGCTTATTAAGAGCCTGTGTGTTGAATCGATCGATCGGTCTATTTGAGGGGGATCTGCGCTGCACTTAATTTTGCGCCGCACGGTCCGACGTTGTATAGGCTTCGCACACCGCGGACAGACCAGAAGACAGGTCGGATCTCATTTCAGTGCGCACGGCAGCGGAGAAGGGTATCTGATGACATGAGACATAAATGCGATTCTCAAGCTAGGACGAGGGGGCGGCGTAGGCTAGTTGATGGTGAACGTGGGGCTCTTGTTACCGGAGTCGCCCATTACTGGGGGCCACAGTTAGCCTTTCATCTACTGGGACCGAAAACCTCACTCACAGACGACGATGTAATCGTTGCCGGGCGTAACGTTCGGCACTTCGACTTGCACCTTGCCTTCGCGTAAGTCGAAGCCTTGGGCGAGCGGGTGATCTACAAGGCAGAGCGTCCCGGCGGGTCAATGCAACGAAGACGACAAGCACACACCAACGTCAAGATGCTCGTCAGTACCGTCTTCGACGTGGCCGAGAAATATCTTGCCCTCGGTGTTCGTGATATCCGCCGGCTGATTCCTCGTATCCCTGTAAAGATCAGCACCGTCCGGAAAGCGACAACCTGGGCTGACAAACCAGGTGACTGTCGTAGTGGTGCCAGCCACCCACACAGATTTCGCGGTAGGACTAATGATCTTCGGGCTCCAGACATCTCGAGACATAAGGGTGCTGCTACTGTTGCCGAAGTCCGTGCTGTCCGGTTGGCGAGCTGGCAACAAGCTATCGGGATCGTCGTAGACATCGTAGAAACCGCGGCTGGAGACGCTTTCGGTATAGGGCGAGGTGCTGTTGCCTGAGTTGCCGGCGTACAAAGCTCCAGTTCCGCCGAGAGCCACAGCAAGAGAGAGAGCAGTCAAAAAGCGTAGACAAGCCATCGCTGCGCAGTTCCAGATAGATCCAACAAAGCAGAGTAGATATGTCCGGCAGAAGTACAATGCGGTAGATAGAGAGTGGCGGTTGACCTGCAACCGCAAGAGATATGGTCAGGAGGAAGGGGCTGGCACGGTGGCTGTCGCTTAGTTGCGGGATATCGGTAGTTGCCGAGAGGGTAGACGCACGTAGACAAACCGAAGATCTCGTCGCAGTTGCAACGAAAAGTCTACAGTTTCGCTCTAGCCACGTACTGAGCTTCAAACTTCTCCTGCAACAGACGTCTCAAGATCTTGCCTGTCGGAGTCTTTGGAATCTGGCCGGCTCATGTTAGGAAGAATGATCCTGTCAACGAAAGATGGCGAGATCCTACCACGTCGGCGACCTCAAATCCGCCCCGCAGCCACTTGTATGGGCTTAAATTCTCTTTCGTTCGCGTTTCCAGCACTTTGACAGTCTCCTCGGCCCCTCTTTGCTTACCCTCGTCGCTGAGCACAATCCAAGCCCGCGGAACCTTCTCGTCTGACGTCCTACCTCTAGACACCCCGCCGACGCATGCATCGATAATGAGCCCGTCTGGCTGCGCGTGCAGGACATTCTCTATCTCGCTTGGCGACACCTGCGCTCCCTCGACCTTGAATGTGTCCTTTTTGCGCTCGACAAAGCTACGTAGCGTACGAAGTCAGCATGGTAACGAGCGCGCCCTTGCGAGAGTGAAGCGTACTGCAAGAACTCGTTCTTGTCGATATGCATCCAGTCTCCTGTCCTCAGCCAGCCGTCGACGAACGCCTCCCGTGTCGCGTTCTCGTTCCTGTAGTAGCCAAGCGCCACGACAGGCGCCTTGACCCACAGCTCGCCAGGCTCGTCGACGTCGGCCTCCGAGCCGTCCTCGCGAATCGTGCGGACCTCGACGCTAGAGCTGAGGAGGCCGCATGTCGAGATAGTACCTTGAAGCCAAACAGGCCGTTGATAGTCTTGCGAGAAATACCCAAAGTCTGAATGTGTGTCAGTAGATGCATTGACCAGACGGACGCAATCTGGCTTACCACCTCTGACGTGCCGTACCCTTTGCGGCGCAGTTAGCGATCTGGCTCATAGAAAAAAAATTAGATTCAGACCTTCCCAAAGTGTACCATTGTTGAAACGCGAGAAGAATTTGTCCCGCAGTGTCGTAGGAAGGTGCGCCACCCCGCATGAGGTGCTGATAACGGAGCTAAAGTCGGTCTTAGTAAATTCGAGATGGTTAAGCAGCTGGTGCATGGCAGATGGGACTAGCGCGAGGATATTGACGTGGTACCTTCATTTGAGTAAGAACAATTTGGCGGTTGACAAATGCATGTCTTACTTGGAGATCGCTTTCAAGACTGCACTGGTATTCCACTTATCCATGATGACGTAAGTCAAAGGGACGATGCTGAACATGCGGAATGCGACGACGTTCAGTGAGTAGGCATGGTAGAGCGGCAGGAAACACAGCGCGATTGGCGGTTCTTTCGGCGAGGTCAGCTAGGGAGAGGATCAATCGAAGAGCGACAATCAAGGCGTCCAGACGCACCTGAAGGAACTTCCCCCCCTTGCTCCCATACAGTTCCCATGAGCACCGTCGCCCAAACGTTTCCATGGGAAGCCATGACAGCTAGATAGGAATTTTCAGTGTGATCTAACTATACCAGCCCACCCTTCGGCAGACCGCTAGTCCTACTCGAGGACACGAGGTATGTCAGCGTGTTCTTCTTCGCGGGGCGGATGGGCTCTCGAGCAATAGAACCCTTTCGGACGCGATTGGCCAAGCCTTGCGAACTCAGACGTCCATCGCTGCTAGTACCTTCCAGGATGTAGATTTGGGTTTCGGACAAACCAACTTCTTTCGCGGCAGCGAGTGCAATCGGAAGCAGGGCCGGCCGCACGAACAATACTTTCGGCTTTGCTGTCCGCAAGGCGTGTGTGAGCTCGTATACTGTGGCATACGTCGACGAATTCGCGAAGGGCGTCGTTATAGCGAGGAGCGCGTTCGCAAGCTCTGCTACTGCGGTCAGCACAGCGCACGACACGCCCAACAGTTCAAAGCACCACGCAGTTGTGGCTGAATATGCCGACGATGTCCCCGGCCTCGCCGCGTCGCGCACGAACTTGTAATGGTTGGCGCAACGAGTGCCTGAGCCCAGTGGCAGCATCAATGTAGACAGTGTAATCCGGGATCTGTGCGCCTTGTGAGCTCGAGGATGTAAAGAGCAAATCGAAGATATTCGCGTCCGGGATGGGCGGCAGGTCCGGTAGTCGGGACTTGATGTGCATCGCTCAGAAATAGCGTACCAGTCGGCTGTCTTAGAGGAAGGACGGCGTAGTGAAAATGGGGACGACAGCGAGACTTTATATGCGGTATCTATAGCACAAGCCTCGCCTCCGCTGGATATCGCAGTGCAGGGTTCAGTCTATCGAGCCCAGCAACATTCGAAACACACTAGAGCGTGAGAAGTCAAAATGAGACACATGCCATGCATAGCGCCTGTTGTGCCGGAGTCTGAGACTACAAGTCCAGAGTCATTGTCTGCTTGTCAGAGCCGACGCTAGCAATCTACCTCGAGGTAAGCCACGATTCGATGGGATGGTTTCGAGCCAGCTCACGGTGGCTGCAGGGGTGGACGGTTTTTCTGCTGATGCCGCGACATGTCTCGTAGATAGGAGCAGGATCCTACTCACGCCGTCTTTCCGAGTGAGATAGTGAGAGATCGTCTGATTCTGCGAGGAGGTATTGAAATCCCATTTGTATGACCGTCCTGAAAAGAAAGTACATTACATAACACGAGACGACGCTCGTGATTGGCTAGTTACATGGCGTCCCGAGTTCTGCGAGACTTGCAATTATACGCAGGCATTCGCTCGGAAAGACGGCGTGCGTAGGAGCCTGAGGTAGAAGGGCCTCCGACAACTGGACCAGAAGTCCACCCGAATTTCACCCAATTTTAAGCCCTATGCCTGATTTTGTCCGGACGTTTTGACCTCAATCCTCGCCGAGACGCGAAGTATTCTTCTGCATCTGGAATAGAAGAGTCGAGCTCTAGGGAAAACAGCATGTCAGGCTTCTGACATAAGCGATAGCCTCGTGCTGCCACCGGGGCTCACCTGTTACAAAGTGGAAGTTGTCACCCTTCGGGCGGAGCACCGAAATTAATCTCATTACTCTCAGCAAGTGGCCAGTAGCACTACGCCAGCAGCTAACTCACCAAGAACTAGAGAAATCACATACCAGAATAATATGTGCTCATTTATTGAGGCCTTGAGGATCGAGAAGTGGAAGTTGCATTCGTTGAGAATGTCCATCCTCACATTATGTAATATAAGCGCCAATTCAGCTATTAGACGCCCATAGAGCTCAGGCGGCCGCAGACGCCGAGGGTGAACTTGACCTGACCGCTCCCACTACAGTACCGGACAGCGTGCACATCTTCGCTACCCCAAGCCTTTAATACGAAAGGACATGCTACGCAGCCTCCACAGCATGACTGATTGGTGGCATCCACCCTAACCGCCAACGTTTGAGATGATTCGAGGCGCAGTAGCAACGTTGTGATGATTGCAGTGGCCGGTATGCCATATTTCCTTGGAATCCTGGCCGTCGAACGCGACATCTCCAGACATTCCACACGCGATCTGCCCCTCTGGATATCCGAGCATGGAAGCGGCACCTGGAAACCCCGCTACAGCTACATTCTGATGTTTCTGAACTCTCTGCGACGTGTCCAAAGCAGTTTGCCGTTGCGGGCGGATCCGCTACTTGCGATGATCCGCATCTCAGGCGAGGTGAGTGGTATGCATGCGCTATGCAGATCCTAATCAGGTGGACTCAACGATGTCAAGCGTACCGGCGCTCATACAAGCCCCGCCGCACGACAAACGTGTCGGTCGGTGTACCACCATTATCAGAGCAATCATGATTCGTCCTGGAACTTGAAACGGCACACTCCGTACGAGCCGTGTCAAGATATCAATGGTCACCACGCCGGATACGAGTAACACGTATCACCGGGCTGGGGTGTGCACAAGGGGCCGAGAGAGTAAATTTTCCTCTATCAATTCAGAGTCCCCGGATTTGCGCACTCCATCTTTTTAGTTTGTGGTGTGCGCCATGTCCACAAATTCACTTTACTGGGCGGGCTTCCCATTTAGCCGATTCCTCGGACTACTCTAGTAGGTAAATTTTCTTGCAAGTCGTGTCAGAGGATACTTATGGTATGACAGATGGCACCAGGGGTAAAGCGCTGTGTATTTTCGAAAAAGTCACATCGTGCCAGAACCAGGTTATGTCCGGAGCATTCTAGGTTGAGCGCTGCGCTATAAAGCGAGCAGACTCGAGACCTTCTCTCGCCAAGTCGAGTTTCTTGTGTTGTGTTTATCTTCGCCAACTCTTATCTTTTCACCGAACTGTATTGAAACAGCGGGATGTCAACGGAGTCGGTTTCCATATATCCCATCCCATCCCGTCTTCAGGATGGTCCGGAGGTGCCCTTCATTGGCCCAAACATAGAAGCTTACAGGAAGGCACATGCCGAGAGTGTTGGTCCCAATGCTGACAATTGGTGGGCGAAGGTATGCGTCTACGAAGCTATTTGAGTACCTGTGCTGACCCGTCTCCAAGATGGCTCTCGAGACTCTTCATTGGGACATCCCCTTTCATACCGTAAGGTCCGGTAGCTTCGAGCACGGCGATGTCACTTGGTTCCCCGACGGCTACCTGAACGCTTCGTACAACTGTGTTGATAGATGGGCATATCGTAACCCTAACAAGGTGCAGCGACGTGTCTACCGTATCTATGGTAATCCACTGACGAATGACGTCAGACTGCTATCATATACGAGGGCGACGAACCCGGCCAGAGCGTCGAGATCAGTTATGGACAACTCCTTCGCGAGGTATCTTGCGTCGCCAATGTGCTCAAGTCGTGGGGCGTAAAGCAAGGCGACACTGTCTCCATCTACCTGCCCATGACTTGGCAGGCCGTCGCTGCGTTCTTGGCCTGCGCGCGCATTGGTGCTGTCCACGCTGTTGTGTTCGCCGGATTCTCGTCGGAGTCTCTTCGGGACCGTGTCAATGATTGCAAGTCGCGGGTCGTCATCACTGCAGATGAAGGCCGTCGCGGCGGCAAGACCATCGCCATCAAGCAAATCGTGGACAACGCTCTCAAGGCCTGCCCCGAGGTCGAGCATGTTCTCGTTCTGAGGAGAACTGGCAACGAGGTCTCATGGACCGAGGGAAGGGACAAGTGGTGGCACGAGGAGACGGCCAAAGTCCCAAACTTCTGCCCGCCTGCCCTCCTGTCGGCAGAACACCCTCTGTTCATCCTCTACGTAAGGCCCTACTCACTCTGGTCGTGCACCTGTCTGATGTCTTCGTTGCAGACCTCTGGTTCGACTGGGAAACCAAAGGGCATCGTGCACACCACTGGTGGCTATCTTCTCAATACAGCCCTTACGCTCAAGTATGTCTTCGACGTCCACGAGAACGACCGATTCGGCTGTATGGCGGACATGGGCTGGATCACCGGGCATTCGTACGTCGTCTCTCTAGACACCATGTGGTACGGATGGTGTACTGAATGTCACTAGATACATCGTGTACGGTCCCCTGGCGAACGGTGTAGCGACGATTGTCTTTGAGTCTACTCCGGTATACCCGACGCCCGGGCGCTTCTGGGAGGTCGTAGACACGCATAAGCTCACGCACTTCTACACCGCACCTACTGCCGTCCGTCTTCTCCGCCGTCACGGAGAACATTGGGTAGAGAAGGCTGATTTGAGCACGCTCCGCGTCATCGGCAGCGTGGGCGAGCCCATCAACCCCGAGGCGTGGCACTGGCTGAATGACTACGTCGGACGGAGGCAGGCCGCCATCGTCGACACGTTCTTCCAGACGGAAACGGGAACTGTCGTCATTGCTCCCTTCCCAGGAGCGATCGAGTGCAAGCCCGGATCTGCGACTGTCCCGTTCTTTGGGATGGAGGCTGCACTCCTAGACCCAGTCACCGGAAAGGTGGGTGTCAAGGCACTCGATGGGTGCAGCAAAATTAACGGGGCCGTCTTCATCAGGAATTGGAAGGCAATGGTGTTGAGGGCGTGCTAGCATTCAAGCGTAGCTGGCCTTCCATTGCTCGTACTGTCTGGCAAGACCACAGCAGATGGCTCGATGTGTACCTCAAGGTGCGCGTCTCGCCGAGCAACGCTCTGATTGGCTGTGTAGTGTTCTAACCTGTCCGTCACAGCCGTACCCTGGATATTACTTCACTGGTGATGGCGCACTCCGCGACAAAGATGGATACATCTGGATTAAGGGTCGTGTTGACGGTACGTGTGGAACATCCTGCACCACCATGTATGTGCCGCTCATCTCCTTTGCCCTAGATGTTATAAACGTTTCCGGCCATCGCCTCTCCACCGCCGAAATAGAGTCTGCACTCATCCTTCACGATGGTGTCGCTGAAGCGGCGGTCATCGGCGCAAGCGACGAACTGACTGGGCAGTCTGTCCACGCCTTTGCGACCTTGAAACCGTGCGTTACTGCTTCTCGCAGCGTCCAGTTCGATATTGATATTGAGAGCGTCTACAGTGACTTCGAATATGACAGCGAGGCTAGCCTCGTGAAAGAATTGTCAGTGCAAGTTCGGAAGACAATTGGGCCCTTCGCAGCCCCAAAGAAGATCTACATCGTCCCCGACTTGCCCAAGACGCGCTCGGGCAAGGTACGTAATCTCAGTACTTCGTACGCTCTGCCTCTGATACACGCGTCCTCCCGCAGATCATGCGCCGCATCATGCGTAAGGTGGTCGCGGGCGAAGGTGACCAGCTCGGCGACCTGAGTACGCTCGCAGACCCGTCGATCGTTGAGGTCATCAAAGCCAAGGTTGCCGCAGCACATTGCTAGACTCAAAGGATTCTCCATGTGGCTAGACTACCTTAATGTTGTGTCGTAAAGTGTGCACTTATGTAAAATTACCTGTATAGTTACGTATATAACTTTAAAGCAAGAATCGCATACAAATGCACTCGAAACTTTGTGGAGTGGGGGGCGAGCAGCCTGATGTGTATGGTTCAAAGAGTGAGCAGCAGGTGTTCCAGGTCTCGCGGGGTGGTCTTGCTCACAACGGCAGTCTCCTTAACGCGGCAGATTGCTTGTCTGTTGTACACTGTTTCCCCAAGGTCAGGCAGTGGGGTTATCCACGAGAAGAGGGGTACCTCATGTTCGATGCGAGCATTCATTGTCCTACGGACTAAATTAACTAAATCCAACAACAGATCCAGCGTGGATGATCCAGTGCCTATTACATCTGAAGTAGTAACGTACAGGAAAGAAAGCATGAAAACGAACAAAACAACAACAGAAACAGAACGGCTATCACACAGCGACACCAGTGTCGCTATCTTCGCTATGGAGCGTGAATGCGTCTGAGCGGATCGAGCCCGCCGAGGGCTTACGTTCATGGCCAGCTTTCGTCGCGCCCGGGACATGCATCTCGTCCAGGTTCCTCGGCTGTAGTTCGTCGACCCCGAGCTCCGTCGACGTAGGCGCAGCTGTCGGGCCCGAGCGCACAGAGCCGAGCGAAGGCGCCGGCGACGACTCGCGCTGGGGTGTCTGTGGCGAGGCCTTGGTTACCGAGAAACGTGTGGCCCGTTGCGAGAAGAAAGACCCGATGCTGGAGCCCCAGGAGCTCGGGGACTGCCTGGCCTCTGCCGTCGCCGGCTGCACTTTGCTGGTGTTCAAGCTCAAGGGACGCATGCCCTCTGCGGGTGCCGGGGGCGGTTTGGGCGATGAACCTGGGGTAGAGAGTATAGAGTCCCTCGTGGATTGGGTGCTGCCTGGGTCGGACTTTGCAGCGTCCACGATGCCACTCGGGGCATTGCTTGCTTGAGGACCGGATGTACTCAATGGCGAGCTAGCGCTCCGTTGTAGCCAGCGTCCGCGGACGCCGTCTATAGCTTTGAAGAGCCCTGTTGAAGCCTCCGAGAAGGTCTTGGAGATCGCTTCCCCGGTCGGCGCTAGCCGTTGGTCGAGCCTAAGATCTTGGATGCCTTCGCTTAGGCGCAAGCCCACGTCCGACAACACAGACGGACGGTCAGTGCATGGGTGTCTGGCCAACCTCCGTCAGTCACGACTCGAAAGACACACTCCAGGAGACTTAAGCATACCGTGGCTCAAGGATATCAAAAAGTAGTGGGTCAGTCACTCGCTCCCAGACCTCATAAGCACTCGTCTTCTTGAATTCTGCTATCCACAGCATGTTGAAATCCTGTATCGCATTTGGGTTCCCTCCTGAGTAGACCCAATCAGCCCTGTTCTGCTCTCTCAATGAGTACAACTCACCTGCTCCGTCAGTGATCATAACACCGGACCCCTGGCCTTTGTTCAAGAAATCAGAGTATTTCACGCACGATAGCGCGCCTGAGATATATTCGTCGAACTAGGCTATGTGAGCGCGCGGCGCCGTGCCCAAGTCGGGACGTACGCACCTTTTGTCTCAAGAAATCGTCGCTACCTTTGAACTGGATGCTCGGGGAGCTAGTGGGGTCCGACGCGTCGAAGCTATCATTGACATCCTTCACGACGTCGTCCATCCACTTCCGGTCCGCAGGTGTCAGACTTGTTACTCGCTCAAGTGTCGGGTCGCGGAACTCAAACGAGCCTGTTTCCAGCTGCAGGGAAAGATGGCCCGTCAAACGAGCTCATCCGAACAGGTTAGGTGGGGCACTTACATTAACCAGCAAGTCCACTTCTTTCTGCTGTGTCACGATGGAGTTGGTCGTGCCGCAGAGCCAGCTTTGAGTGTCTTTCAGCATATCGAGCTGCTGTAGAGGCAGATAGGGCTGGAAAAATGCATCCTACGAATATGCCTCCGTAAGCATGATAAGCCGAACAAAAAAAAGCGCGTAAACCCACCTTTCCGAACAGATCCAACGGCAATCCGACATAGGCCATCATACTCCTGGGATCCGATGTCCGCAATTCGGTTGGTTTCGAGAGTGCCTTCGCACGTTCGGCCAGCGGGGGAGACCCGCAGTCATCCAGGTGTTGGAGAAGGCCAGGCACAAGCGTCACTAACGAATACTGGTAGGTGCACAGCTTTTCTACCGGATGCCCGTATAACATGATCTATTGTGCAGAAAGTTAGGGGCAAGCTGATACGCGCGTGTACATGAGACACTTACCTTCTTCTGTAGCATTAGAGCTTTGAGAAGAACAAGAGTTCGCTGCCGGAAGGTATGTACGAGTTCCCGCCTACAGTGATCTCAACACCTAGATTCCAGAAGAAAGAAACAAGATATGATACTTACAGACTGGTCCCTGCGCATGAGATGAACTGAGTCTGCCTACGATGATGCAAGGAAGACACCCACCCATGTACAGGCCACTTTCAGTCAGCTGACTGCGCAGCGACAGCTCTAGCGACTCTTGGAACTCGTCAAGGATAGTCATGTCGGTGAAGTCGCGCTGAGCAAACAGAGCTTTTGTAACCACGCCTAAGCGGTCTCTGGGTGATCGCCAGAAGTGAGACGTTGCTGTATACGTTCATGTGGGCAAACTTACCTGATAGGACCAAACACGGGCTTTGCAGCCAGGACGACTACAGCTTTCTGGACAATAGAACGTGTCACGTCTTGGTCTTTGACTAGAAGATCCGAGCTGCGTATTTGCCGGTTGCATCTGCAGCACAAACATCAAAATCTGTATGTAGATTCCTATGTCACGACTCACGAAATTCCGAAGACGGTAGTCGGATTCGGTGAAGACGGAACCAAGTGGAAATACGAGTAATCTTCCACCGTCTAAGTAAACGTAAGGCAATCTATTGAAGTAACTTAAATGAGAGGACACACCAGATGCGCGCCGTCTGGCAAAGCCAAAAACGGAAGTATTTTGGAAAGCTCGTCATCCTCAAAGATGGAACCTCGCGAGAATTGGATCTTTGGGCCGACCTATGGAAGTGTAAGGAGGGAACACGTCTAATGAAGCGGAAGAGACGAACCTGATGGTTAAAGTCCACTAGCGCAATACCCAGTACCAACGGACCCCGGTGCGTGACGAGCATAGACTCCGGACGAGCTTTCCTGGACTGAGACGTTGAGCCTGAGGCAAAGGAGGCGATGCTTTCTCTGCTTGAATCCGGTTTTTGCAATGGTGGAGGTGGATACGACATCCTCGAGGCATACGGAGGCGAAAACAGTGCAGCCGGTTGCTCGGCTGCCTCCTCTTCATTCGACGCCAGCTCAGCAACGTGCTCGACACCCGCCTCGTGTTCATCCTCCATGTCTTTCTCGTGCATAGACGGCGCAGCACTCGACAAGGGCGTCTCCAGGTCGTTCAGGCGACGCATGAACGAACTGCGGTCATCGCCCTCCGCGTCCTGTTCCGAGCTGAAGTCCGTGTCAAGCGTAAAACGGTGCGAGTCTCTGTGCGCAAAGCCGAGGCTCTCCCTAACCGTGTTTACCGGCGTGAGAGAGTCGTCAATGTGCTGATCATCGTCTGCACCATTAAAGGACTGATCGACGTGCAAGGACTGCCGAGGCGACCTAGGTGGTGACGACAGTGATATCGAGCGCTGCGACGCGGTGTCGCCATCTGACTTGTCAAAGTCGATGTCCAGGTGATCGTCTGAGTGTTCTGCATTGTCGCGCTCTGCGTTCAGCAGAAAGTGTGAGTTGGTCGGCGAGAGCACATCCAGGGTTGGCGAGGTAGTCATGGTGGTCGTGAATAAGTGAGTGGGAGAGTGGGTCGTTCAAGATTAAAGGAGTGAGACGTGAGGATTATACTTTCGAACGACACTTTCAAGATGACTCGAGATGAGAAGAGTAAATTGAGAAACAAGTTGCAGACGAGCACTGAAAGCAGGCCCACTCATGGTCAAGCTTCAGGGCGTCTATTGTCCACCCGCCGCAACGCGCGAGCAGGCTGTACAGAGATTGACCGGAGCTGATGCGACTGTTCTCGCAAGTTACATCGTCTGATGCTCAAACAAGACATTTAGATATTTCGAAAGCCTATATTCCACTGTAGATACAACGGCCACGAAGAGATATCAAGTCAAGCTTCAAGCAGTGCGTAGGATCGGGGCTACGCCCTCTCAGCCGTATCCAGTGACCATGAAGCTTAAGCACAGCTTGCGCCGGAATTCAGCAAACGAGCGCAACAGTAACGCGCAGCGCCGAAGTGGCGTTGACCGTAGTCGACAGTGGCAGCTATCCTGGGCCTGAAAGAGTAATTTGTTTACAACTCGCTGGCCGACGCGGCTGAGCAGGACGCACAGTACTTAGTCCAACTAGCTCGGGGCCGTGTGAAGAGAGATGCTGTAGATGGTACAACGATTACTGAAGCTGTGCATAGAATGTGAGGCTGGCCGAGCTAGTAGTACTGTGCGGAGAGACAAGAGCTGCGACATGACTCTGCAACCGGTGGGTGACATGGGTGTCGATATTTCCAGAGAAGCCAAACAGGCCAGGCTGCCCCAGAATGAACTAAGTCTGTATTACACGAAGCGTGGGCTATGGTGCTAAGTATGTAGCTGGCGGGGGGTACCTAGATGGTGGTAGTACTTGATGGGTTCACGTCGGATTTCAGATGGAACATGGTACATACACATGTATGGGTTAGCTCCAGCATCTCCAAAGCTCCAATCTCGTGGAAGTCTAGGTCGTGTTTGGTCAAGTCCTTAGGACCTCGAAGTGGCGAAGACGGAATCAGCGGAGCAAATTTGAGTTCATAAATCTGTGTTCAGCCCCGCGTTATCTACATCTCCGAAGCTCGGAGAACGAATACCTGCTTTGTCCCGTAGGAGGACTTGCTTCCAGCTTGAAGAATACATCTTGACCTAGGCCTTCCCATGCATATAAAAAGTGCCTTGTATCTTCCGTATCATCCGGTCCTTCACTTTACCAAGTCACTCCAGACCGTCACCAGTCCGTCTCGGTCCGGCGGAGACTCCTCCCGTGGGTACCTGAAACCAGAACGTGTGCCTGCAACGATACTTCTCCGGAATGTGCGATAACTAGGCCCCTATGGGCTTTGATCTCGGCCGACACACTCGTCATTATATAGCTTGAGACATCGCAGAGCTTCGTTCCACCACTGCGACTCATGCCTAACCTCAAGCACCTCACTGAGCGCATCTTCCAGTCGCCCCAAAAGTACATCCAGGGCCCGAATGCCATCAAGAATGCGGCCAAGTATCTCGACTCGCTCGGCCGTACCCCGTTGTTGGCAGTAGATGATCTGGTGTTCAACATCGGTGCGTGCAGCCTGCATACGGGGGCCCACAGACCCAAGTTGACTCGTTGGTGATCAGCGGGAAAGCAGCTCGTCGAGGCCTTGGAGCAAGCGCAATTCAAGGTCACCCGTGGCCGCTTCGGTGGCGAGGCCTCCACACAGGAGATCGAACGGCTCGTCACACTCGGCAAGGAGTCCCGGAGCGACTTCGTCATCGCACTCGGCGGCGGCAAGACGATCGACACCGCCAAGTGCGTCGCAGACCTGCTCAAGCTACCTGTCGCAGTCCTGCCCACGACCGCGTCGACGGACGCACCGTGCTCCGCGCTCTCCGTGATCTACACGCCGGACGGCGCGTTCGAAAAATACACGTTCTATGACAAGAACCCGAACCTCGTCCTCGTCGACACGAGCGTCATCGTCCAGGCCCCCGCGCGCTTCCTCGCCGCCGGCATCGGCGATGCCATCGCGACGAACATCGAGGCGCGCCAGTCGCGGCACAGCCCGAACTTTGGCGGCCTCCTCCCGACAGACCTCTCGGAGGCGGTCGGCGCAAAGTGCGAGGAGATCCTGCTCAAATACGGCAAGCAAGCGTACGAAGCGAACAAGGCCAAGGCCCTCACTCCCGCGTTCGAGGCGGTCGTAGAGGCAAACACGCTGCTGTCCGGACTCGGCTTTGAGTCTGGAGGACTTGCTGCTGCTCACGCCGTATGAGGTCTCCGCTCTCGCATTGACATGGTTCTTACGCACTATTGTAGATCCACAACGGCTTCACTGCTATTCATGCTCTGCACGGTTTGATGCACGGAGAGAAAGGTGAATTGCCATGAAGCTTGCTTCCTGGTACCAAGGCAACTAATTCCGCGTCCAGTCGCTTTTGGCGTAGTCGCGCAGCTCATCTTGAACGGCGCCGATTCCGCGGAGCTCGATCGCTACATCGGGTTTATGCTCTCCGTCGACCTGCCCGTGACCTTCGAGCTCCTCGGCATCCCAAACGTGACCGACGAGGAGATCCGCTCCGTCGCAAAGCTCTCGTGCGCACCGAACGAGACGATCTGGAACATGGAGATCGCTATTAACGAGGAGATCGTCTTCAACGCGATCAAGGGTGCCAACGCTGCCAGTGTTAGCTACATCAAGCGTACGGGTTGGAAGAAGGAGTGAACGTTTCTGATTTAGAACTCTACAATTGTACAATTGCGTGTACCATATGTGTAGAAAAGTGGCATAGCTGTGTAAGTCCTGGAAATAGCGTATAGCAGATGTAGCTTTAGAATCTATGATGTTATTACTATCGCTTCGGACCGCGCGAAACTGAATGTAATTGGGCACGATGCAAAGCCTTGAAGACATGATGAGACGGCAGTGCAGGTCAGCCTGCAACAGCCGATCGCGTCGGGCGCGACATCAAAAACGGCACTGCTCCCGCGCATGAACTCGAAGAGGCAAGTATACAGGAACAATCATTGCAATATTTTGTCCGGTGCAGTAACGAGCGCACAAGTGTTTGGTGCCATAGTCCAGCCACGCAGTAATCGCGCAGCCCGTCCTCAGTGCAGAACGCGAGCCCGATTCCGGCGATCCCTCGCTGCGTGATGCGTTGCCATGGGATGGTGCAGCTGGACGGGGACGTAGCTAACCAAGCTCCTCGGCTGGCCGTGCGGCAGTAGCGAATCAGCGATCACGTTAGGCACAGGGTCGATACAGCAGGCGACGGGAGAAATTTAGGCCTTGAAGTTGGCGCCGACACGGAGACCGCCCTTGGCTCACGAAAATCGTACGAGAAATTGGCGTTATACTTGCTCTCTCGGGACTTCTGCTTGTTGCGGAGCGCGAACTCGCCGAAGGACAAGCCCAAGAAGAGGATGGCCCGCTTCTCAGATATGCGTTGAAGGGCACGGCGTCGATATTCGCCTCGAGGACCTCACATAGTGTCTTGTGCGGGAAAGCCACTCGGCGAGCGGCCAACGCGGGTAGAGCAGGTATAAGTCGCTGATAACCTCGACGACGTCGATCTGGAGGACCGAGCTGGGCCAGAGGAAGTCGGAGAATATCTCCATGTACGGTTGAGGAGACGCGGGCTGCACGTTCACGATTGGGACCTTTTATGTGCGAGTGCGCCTATACCCTGGAACATTTACAGCGGGAGGATGTGAGTTCGTATGGCACGCCAAGATCTACAAGAACGCATCGGACACGACGTGCTTACAGTTCGGAATGCGTCGGTAACGTCGAGAGTAGCGAGTTAAGGCTTCTTGCTTGACATTCTCTGTTTTGAGCCACAAGTAGCGGCTGTTCGTTCGAAGTCCCTCGAGGACAGGGACTCCTCTTCATAGTGATTGCGAGGCAAGGAAACACTTGAAGTGTCATTGCTAGCACATCAGTAGGTCTACTGAAGAGCTCACAAAATGCTCGTCCAGTAACCCGGTGTGAACCTGAAGAAGTGTCCCGGCTTTGGCTCTGGGCCTCAACATGCTGCTATACTGTGTCGTTGTGACCACTGCTCGTTGTACTTGACTGCAGGACGACTGCTTCATCATTAGCAACGCAGTTCGAGTGCTCATGGCGTCAAAGAACTCACAATAAAGCCTTCTCGAGTCACATGGGATCACCCACAATTGAGCTGCGTTCGCCGCCGCTCAGTCAAAAGTGTAGGGATCCGACAGTACACGCGTCACGGCGTTCTGCAGATCATCCAAAAATACACCGCACGGTCTGAAGGCTATCACCTTTTCATCATTAGGCCGAGAAAAATCCTAGAGGCTTACATCAATCAAGACAGTCGGTGTTGAAGCAAAGGGCTCACTTACGAGACGACAACGTTACCTTCCATTTGTCACCTGTCCTCGGCGCATCACCCATCTCATACCTGAGCTCCTTCTTGAGACGACGACCAGCGTGTTCGATGGTATATACCGGGAGTTTCGGGCGGGCACCAGACCAGTAGTGGTCGTGCTTTTCATCCCGAACTCCTATATGTACCACTAAACCCCGAAGAGCTGACAGCGCGCCTGTGATGGCCGAGTAGCCACAACAATCCTACGGGCCCATCTGGCGCTTGTAGCGAAGTTCCGCTCGCCCACATTAATATTCCGCCCCAGAGGCGGTGCTCAATTCCGCGCGGCCAGTCGCAAACGTTTGTCAGTGCGGTGCAAAGGCCCAAGCGACAGATGCGGCCGCCGCTCGGCCGCCGCCTTACTCGCGAATCTCCTGGGGTCTCGATCGCGAGCACCCTTCGGGAGGTGCATCGTAATTCATGCGTGAGAGTCGCCGCTCATGCCTTCGTGCCGCGCCCGCGTTTCCAGGCCATTCGACGGCCTCTTGAAGACTCCACCATGCAAGGATGCGAACGCAGCTGGGCACGATGGCCAGCTCCATTCAGTTCAAGGCATTCGAGGTTGACCTTGCACTGGTCTCGCCGAGTTCACCAGCCTCAGTCGTCCAGAAACGGAATTGAGTGCGCTGCCGGCCGCCCATTTGTTCATGATCAAAACACTGCAACACATCGGCAGTGGAGAATAGCCTTGAAGCTTGAAGCGTCGCCAGGGCTCTTTTGCCCGAGGGCGCCAATGCACTCTTGCACGTATATATAATGCCCGACGCAAAGCGGTTTCATCGCCCAGCACATTCGGACTTGACGAAATCTGCCCACTTCACACTCTAAACGCTCCTCACAATGAAGTACTTCGCTGTCGTCGCCGCCCTCGCTGCTACCTGCTTCGCGCAGAACATTGCCATTGGCTTCCCCGCTGCCAATTCGACTGTCAGCCCGGGCCAGTCCATGACAGTTCAGGTCAATAAGCCGGTGCGTTTTTATGACTGTGATGACGTCAGCGCGGCTGGCGCTGACTACGACGCCCGCAGGACTCCTTGACCGGGTCGACTGAGGTCGGACTCGTGCTCTCAATGGCATCTTGCCCAGCCGACGGATGCACCAGCCCCAGCTACGACCCGTCTGACATACTCGGTCAAATCCTCTTCAACGGGCTCTGGGACCCCGAGTTCCAACCCGGAGCTACTCAATTGCCACCTCACCAGAACTTCACGGTCGAGGTTCCGCCGTCGTTCACTAGCGGCGAAAATGTTGCTCTCATTGCTACGCATCTCGTCTTGGTCGGGGTAAGTACTCATTGATCTATGTGCCTGTCAGGCGTCGTCTAACTAGCGATTCTCTTTGTAGGCCGGGCCTGAGGCTATTCTCCAGACCACCTTCGTCCCTTTGACCGTGTCTTGATTGGCAGATACTAGGAATCGTCTCAATAATTTCTTATGAGCTAACTATTATTCACGGACTTCTCGTATCTATAGTATGCGCATCCTGCATTACGTGAATACTGTACATACTTAGCGAACAACAACACCAGATACCTGGGTGATTAATCTTGCAATCTCTGCACCGTTTATAAGTAGCAAAGCTGCGCGAAGTTTCAAACCATTGAGGCATGTGTGATAATGGATAGTACCTCTGCTGTCGAATATCTGGCGATTCGCAGCATAGAATTGGATTGCTTGGCGCTTCCTATGACCCATTGGCGCTGATGTGCTGATGCACCTAAACAAACCGCCGCCGGCACTGCGGTTGCCTCCATCGCCTGCGCTGCCTGCATTGATGTCGATGGTTCTCGCAAGGGCGGGGGAAAAGCCGCAGCCAGTATCAAAAAGCTGACGAGAGCGGCGCATTGTGAACCAGTGCGGGGATCGCTTTGAAGGACGGAATGCAGCGAATAAAAGTTCGAAAGGTCGCAAGTGCGAAAGGTGCCAGGCGCGTCCGGCAGTTCAAAGATAGATTTGCTGGCCCTTGGCTCTCACTCTCTTCTACGGCAGAGAAATTTGGTTAGTTCCTCGGCACGGCCATCAGCCAAAATTGATCCTAGACACGTCCTGTCCCAGTGCAGAGTATCGTGTGGGGCATTTGGCACACACTTGTGCTTGGCTGAGCATGAGTCGCGGATACCGCCACAGACGCCTGAAATGCCTCATACCTTTTCGATATATATCCTTTCGCATGAGGTAGGAAGCCTGAGCCGCCGCAAATTGTTTTTGAGGATGCTGTTACGAGTGGGCCACACTTCATTGTGCTGACAGGGGTACTGAACCCCACTCGCCTGCAGTCCCAGGGTTAGCGGCTGTTGCTAGAAAAGGCGAGGAGGATCCACGCGGACGTAAACATGTGTACAATTCCCGGTTTGTTAGGTCTACGAGCAGGAAAGAGCAGGAGCAAAGAGCTTACGCACGAAGTCCAAAGGCGCAGATAGTTTCAAGGTATTGAAAGTTTCGCGATGTGGCTTCTAAATCGCACAGGGTCGGAGATCCCAAGCCGTTTCGGACAGTGCCACCGTGACGTAGCATGGTCTGCTCGCGCGAGCAGAGGATTGCCGGGCTGCCGGTAAAAAATCCGCGGTCTTCGTCTGTGGCATGCAAGAGCATGCAAGTGGTAAACGGTGTATTAAGCCCGTATCGAGCAGTCGCAAATTCCATCGCGCACCTGGACATGTATTGGTGAGAGCACGTGAAATTCGCATCTCTTGCATGGCGGCGAGAAGAAACAGAGCTTGGAACACTGGTCTCCGCGCACACGCGTGTTAGCGAATACCGCTGGGCACGCACAAGTGGTCAGACAGCACACATTAACGCTTCGTAACGCCGTGGCCCCACTTCCTGCCACCCCTCGCAGACCGCCATGTGACGTGCCCTCGTGAGGATTAGTCTTCTGGCGCCATAATTTTCATCGCATAGGCGATCAACCGCGCCAGACGACCAGTCCAGCGTGTGTGCTCGCCGTTTGCGATCTCGCGCGCCAGCCGCGCTTGTATATGCCCGGGCTACTGTCGAGAGCCGAGCATGTGGGGTTCTCTCGATGTGTTACAGCGTTTTGATCGTGGACAAATGGGCGGCCGGCAGCGCACTCAATTCCGTTTCTGGACAACTGGGACTGGTGAGCTCGGCGAGATCAGTGCGGAGTAAACCTCGAATGCCTTGAACTGAATGGAGCTGACAATCGTGCCCAGCTGCGTTCGCATCCTTGCATGGTGGAACCTTCAAGAGGCCGTCGAATGGCCTGGAAACACGGGGCGCGGCACGAAGTCATGGGCGGCGACTCTCACGCATGAATTACGATGCACCTCCCGAAGGATGTTTACGATCGAGACCCCAGGAGATTCGCGAGTGGGCGGCGGCCGAGTGGCGGCCGCATCTGTCGCTTGGGCCTTTGCACCGCACTGACAAACGTTTGCGACCGGCCGCGCGGAATCGAGCACCGCCTCTGGGGCGGAATATTAATGTGGGCGAGCGGAACTTCGCTACAAGCGCCAGATGGGCCTGTAGGATTGTTGTGGCTACTCAGCCATCATAGCTCTGGGTAGTATAGAAGTTCGGGATGAAAAGCGCGACAAAACCCCTGAATATATGTTTCCAACCTCCTGTGCACGTGTCTGGCCGTTAGCGACGCGTAATATCTGGCACAGCAGCACTTACGACTGCTATATACATATGCCAAACAGGTTCCTCAAGAAGCACGCAAAAAGGCTGTGTTCAAGTAATGTTCGGGAGTGTCGGTTTGTGAGCTGTGGCATGACGGGTTACGACGAAATGAATATGGCCCAACACACCTGCATCATCCGAAAGACGATGTTTCACCCCTCTGCGTACATTAATCGGGGAACCTGTACTTATTGCAAAAAATGGGCGCAATATTAGACGTTAACCGCATTCTGAGCCAAAGGCAGGGGAGAGACATCATTACCTTCGCCACTGTCCCCTATTAACCACAAATCGCCGCTCTCACAGACCCGACTTCATGTTTCGAACTTCGAACAAGCAATCGGTTTGGAGGCAACCGCCTATCCGCTCAAAGAAAGTTGAACTAGGTCAGATTATGTAAGCCACATCCCCGACGGCGATGCTGAAATGCAACAGGAAAACAGGCGACAAACTTACCAGCATCGGACGTACCCACCTCGAAAGTCACGTACAGATTTGAATGTTGAACGATCATTTGCATTCATCTCAAGAATTCGTTCGTTACAAAGAAGACTAAAGCGCGGATGAGGATAGAAGGAAAGAGACAATGATGACAGCAGCCCGACGTAATCTATCATAGCTAGAAAGACCTGGATAACGAGTAAGGCTTCGAATCGCAGAGTCGCAGATGTAGGCGCATTATCACCAGCAACGGGAGGGACGCGGTCCAGAGAGGGTTCTAGTCACAGCCCGACGGATAGCGTGTGAGTGCAGGATTCGGCGGCATGCATTTATTGCTTGGTCTGCTTGGCCATCTACATAGACAGTTAGTACCTCTGAGGTTTCTAACGCAGCACTATGGGCACGTACCAGGTTGAGGGCAGAGCCGGCCTTGAACCACTCGATCTGGCCCTCGTTGAACGAGTGCGCAAGAGGGATCTCCTCCTTGGCACCGTCCTCGTGCTTGAGGACCAAAGTCAAGTCCTTGCCGGGAGTGAAGGACTCGAGGCCGAGGATATCAATACGGTCGCTGGGGCGGACCTTGTCGTAGTCCTCAGGGTTAACGAAGGTAAGCGCGAGCATACCCTGCTTCTTGAGGTTGGTCTCGTGGATGCGGGCGAACGAGCGGGTGATGATAGCAAGGCCACCAAGGAAGCGGGGTTCGAGGGCAGCATGCTCACGAGAGGAACCTTCACCATAGTTGTGGTCGCCGACAGCAACCCACTTGATGCCGTGGTCACGGTAGTAAGCCGCGGTAGCAGGGACAGGGCCGAGTTCGCCAGTGAGTTGATTCTTGACCTTGTTTGCTTCACCGTTCTCAGAGTTGACGGCACCGATGAGGCAGTTCTCTAGAAATACGGGTCAGCATGATATTTTCTGCTACAGGCAGCGATGAGCTTACGGGAAATATTCTCGAGATGTCCACGGTACTTGAGCCAGGGGCCGCCAGCAGAGATGTGGTCAGTCGTGCACTTGCCCTTAACCTTGATGAGAATGGGGAGATCGGTAGGGGTCTTGCCATCCCAGGGAGCGAAAGGCTTGAGGAGCTGAAGCCGATCAGACTTGGGGCTGACAGCGACCTGAACGCTAGCACGGTTTTCCGGAGGAGCCTGGTAGGTGTTTTCGCCCGGGTCGAAGCCACGAGGGGGCAGTTCGTTGCCTGAAGGATCGTTGAACTTGAAAGGCTTGCCATCGGAACCAGTGAGAACATCAGTGATAGGGTTAAAAGTCAGGTCACCAGCAAACGCCATGGCAGTGACAATATCGGGGGAAGCAACGAAAGCGTGCGTGGCAGGGTTAGCATCGTTACGACCAGTGAAGTTGCGGTTGTACGAGGTGATAACTAGAAAACCGGTCAGCATAGGCCACAATGCTGTAAACACAGTAAACGAGACGTACTAGAATTAGCCTCTCCCTTCTCCACGTCGCGCCTGTCCCATTGACCAATGCAAGGACCGCATGCATTGGCAAGTACCAGACCACCAACCTCCTCAAGGGCGGCTATCTGCCCGTCGCGGGCAATAGTAGCGCGAACCTGCTCAGAACCGGGGGTAACCGTGAACTTGCTCTTGGTCTGGAGACCGTGGTCGGCAGCCTGACGGGCGATCGCAGCGGCACGAGACATGTCCTCGTACGAAGAGTTGGTGCATGAGCCGATAAGCGCAACCTTAATGTCCTGAGGCCAACCATTCTCCTTGACAGCGTTCTTGAACTTAGAGAGTGGAGTGGCCAGGTCGGGGGTAAAGGGACCGTTGATATGGGGCTCAAGCTCGGAAAGGTTCTACGATCCTGCGTTAGCTGGGCGCATATGAGCGAACGTCGGATACGCACGATATCAATCACCCGGTCATACTCGGCACCCTTGTCAGCCTTCAGGTTGTGTTGGAAGCGCTGAGCGTACTGAGCAATCTGGCCACGCTTGGTAGCTTTGAGGTAGTCGACCATACGACGGTTGAAGGGGAAAAGCGACGTAGTAGCGCCAATTTCCGCACCCATGTTGCAAATCGTAGCCATACCAGTGCATGACAGAGACTCGACACCGGGACCAGTGTACTCGACGATAGCACCAGTGCCTCCCTTGACCGTAAGGACGCCAGCAACCTTGAGGATCACATCTGCCTCGCTATCAGAGGCCGCCAAGACGCCGATAGATAAGAGACTTACCTTTAGGAGCGGTCCAGCCGGAGAGCTCGCCAGTGAGGTTGACACCGATGACCTTAGGGCACTTCAGTTCCCAAGGAAGACCAGCCATGACATCGACCGCGTCAGCACCACCAACACCGCAGGCAACCATGCCGAGACCGCCTGCGTTAGGTGTGTGCGAGTCCGTACCGATCATCAAACCGCCGGGGAAGGCGTAGTTCTCGAGGATGATCTGGTGAATGATACCAGAGCCAGGGTGCCAGAAACCCATACCGTACTATAGAAGGGTAAGGCCACAGTCTATAAGCAGAATATAAAACGTACCTTAGCCGTAGCAGTCGCCAAGAAGTCGTAAACCTCCTTGTTCATCTCCTTTGCACGTGCCAAATCCTTAACCCCGCCAATCTGAGCTTCAATAAGGTGATCACAGTGCACAGTGGTGGGGACGGCAGTGGTGTCCATGCCCGCAGACATGAATTGGAGAATGGCCATCTTAAAGGCGTGACGTCAGGGTATAGACGCGCGTCGAAATGCCGCGAAACGCACCTGCGCAGTGGCATCCTGGCAGGCAACACGCTGTACAACGAAGTGCAGTGGTCAGGCTAGTTTGCATAGCACTGGAGGAGGCACGTACGTCAGGTCGAAGCTTAAGGTAGCTCACGCCGCGCTCAATGTCCTGGTTCACGGCGTCATCAAGATGGCCGTACAGAATCTTCTCGGAAAGCGTCAAGGGACGCTTCAGCCTGTTAAAGTACATTGGTTTCGTATTCTGAACGATCATTCCAACGCGAAACATACCTGTCGCGAATGACAGCGAGGTTATCCTCGATTCGTTGGTAGTTGATATACGACTTGGGCTCGAGGAGCGACATGGGGACTTTTGTTGCGCCAATAGGTTCAGCGACGGTGGCCATACCAGCGGTCAACCGCTGGAGTGACCTCCATGCGGTCGCTGTTCGCCCTGCGAGGTTGAACATCGTCAAGGACGTCGAGGACGTCGACGGGCTCGAGAGGAGAAAAAGAGGTTGAGGATCAAGGCGTGCCGGCAGCGTCCGGACCTATGGAGGAATTTATGTCCAACGTGATTCTTCGGACCCAGGAGCCGAAGCCAATCGCAGCCGTCCTTTTACGCCGAACCTCCGAGAAGCCGGCGACGAACACACCTGTCCTCCGGCCTCTGATTGGCTTACGCCGCCGAGTCCCCCTCCGCAACACCGAACGCTTCAAATTCGTCCACCGATTTTGTCTGCGGCCGACACTGGCGACCTCCCCACCGACTGGTCGTTCACGCTTTGACTGCCAGAAAACTTGTCCTGGATAGCGCTAGTGGCTTTCTCGGCCCTGCGCTGTTACAGCGGACCTTCCTCAGCGTCCTTTTCCAGCACATGTCCTCACGCGGGGTTCAACAATCACTATTATATTCACCTGTCACCGCGAGATACGAACTGCGGGGAGAGGCGGGTACGGTCATTCGCCAGAGTCTGGGCTTTATGCGGGGAGAGTGCCTGCCACGAGGGCGATCGCTGCCCTCCCCCTCTTTATCCTCGCTCAAGTATTCAAGATTGTACAACCATGATTGCAGAAGCGAGTACAACATAAACGCGTCCTTTTGTCACTACGTTCGACATTTGGAAGATAAATCGCGCTGAGTTTCTCTTTCTACTGCTGCCCAGAGTTTCTGTCTTGCCCAGATGGTTAAGCGCTGAGCGCTGAACGTGAGCGCCGGACTGCTCATAATTCTTGAGTGCTCTAGCTGCTGAATTGTCGTGTTCAAGCCTAGGTGAATAAATTTGAATTTGAGTCTCCCGTGAGCCTTGCTCTGATACAGGTGGCTAGCAATTCTATTACTCTCTCACGCGGAGACCCAGCATCACCTTCTCATAACCGTTCAGCTCGGCGATCCTGACTCATCTCATGGTCCCCGACGAGCTGTCGTCAATGCCACTATGTGTCTGCGAACACTTACACCGCGGAACTTCATAAAAGTCACGGCCCCACTCGGGAGACGTGGGCACTGAATGGACATTAACCAAATAGAACGTCTCCAACGGCGGTATTAGCCTCCCATACAAAAGTGACGACTGTCCCAGCTACAGCCTCGTGACTTCAGCTAGCTTGACGCTGAAAGGACCTGTCGGACATAAAGTCCCGCCACGGTTACCATCGTTTTCAGCGCGTGACTGTCAGTGTGCCGTGTTAAGGACGGGTATATTCACCGGTAGCGTGCCGTAGGTGACCGAAAGCTGGGAACCTCGAGAATTCTTCGCGCCTAGCGGTCACATTCAGGGCAGAGGTCTGTATCGATAGCAATACCCGCCTTCGGGGGGAAGGTGCAAACCGACACACTGCGCGCTTGACGCACCATTAATACAGGGCGCATCACAGTCGGTGAAAGTCAGAGCGCATCAGATGATTGGCGCCTTTACACGCGTTGGCCCCTGCTTTTCTTGACCTTTCGTCTCTGTCCCATCTGGGTTAAAGATTCACGGGCGGATACAGCATGATTGTTATCCCTGTATCCGTATAGGAATCCTCGTGCATGAAGATGTGAGCACTAAATAACAATGCGCAGAATACGGTGTTCATGAGCAGTAATTCTACATCGGGTGTCAGTGAGCATCTACAACGCTACTTTCGGAGGTTCATACGCCAACCGCAGCAAAATTAGATTCTAGGGTATAGCATAGATGTGGAATGGAATGATTAAGCATAGTTACGAGCATGTGGCTCGGCGTAGCTTTCTCCTGGACCTCGCCGTCGAAGATGTCATTCATTTGCCCGTCTGTCGGGCTTTTCGCCTGTTCCATGTAAGGTTGTCCACCCACTCTTCCGAGATGCTACTCATCGGCTCATCGGAGACAGAAGTGCTAACGTTCATGCACTCTTGTATACCAATGCTTCGGAATGCGACCGAGCGGCGTCGGCATCGGCGTCGGCGTAAATGCGGTGCTGTCCCTCGTCGCCGTCCCAGTCTTCGTCATCGATCGCCTAGAGGCCTTCGCACACAGGCGCCTTCATCTTTCGGGCTGTAGATGACTGGTGAGCTCAATCGGATATATCAGGCGCTTTCAGTTACCCACAAGGTTTGTCCGCAAGGCCTATAGACCTCGTGTAGTGACGCACGGTCTCATCTAGGAAGAACCCGCGCGCACAACAGGCCTTGGTAAGCTCTAGATCCAAGCTTTCTGACACAGTATACTAACTGTAGGGCGCTTGGAGGCAATTTCTTCCATCATGCTGCGTTGCTGACGGTCAAGCATATGGAGCGTCCATTCTTTCCGATGCGCCCAGACGCCAAAGATTTCGTTGCCGACGACGTCGCTCCGGTCGTGAGTCGTAGCATGCAGGCGCAAACGAGCAGTGTCCTCGTCGTTCAGCAGTCGCACAATGCCAGTGCCTCGATATGCTGCCCCCACAGGCCAGGTGAGGAGGCACCTCGTGGCGTTGGGCCTATGGGAGCTGTACTCTGCAGCCAAATAATTGTCAGCACGCTCATCGGTGACGTCGGAGTATTCAGCATTGCCACTTCGCGCCTCAGTACTTAAAGCTGGAGATTTGTAGAACATGTTCATTGTGGGTGGCCATACAAACTTTCTGGAGACCATAGACTAATTCCGGCTATAGTGGTTAGCGTTGGAGGCAGATGGTGCTTGTGAATGGCAGTGAGTATTTTGATTTGTAGACCAATCAATCCGGCGACTTATATAGCTACATCGCTGTATGGTCCTGGCACCTCAGCGAAATGGCCAAGCGATCCGATATGCACGCCCCTCCGAGTCAGACGCTCTGTGCTTCAAATACCTCTTCCGTGGCGTTATAAAAGGTAGGTGTCTTTAAGCTCTGATGCTCTCAGTTCATTTTTGCGAAGGAAGTTGACGTGCCTGACGGACAAATGACGCATTTATGTAATCTTCTCGGGATTCAAGGTTCCGGTAAAGACGTGGGCACTCGGGGATCATTATACGGCAACAGGCTCGCCCGGGGGCCGATCTCCTGAAAAGAGCCGGATCTACAGTTCGTGACAAGAGAAGGTGTTTATAATCTCCGTATGTGACTACCAAAGCAAGCCGTCAACTCACCGTCGGCTCTAAACTTAAGAATATCATCAGAATCAACGAAGATGCGACAGGCCGATTCGCTGGACTGTGTTAGTGCCTTCTCTTGTTCATCTACAATAACGCTGACGAAACAGGTGACTGTGATAGTATACTAAGCATATCAGCCTGGTGGCATCTTATGCAGTGCCGGCCTCGGGATCACATCAAGGACGGACTGAAGAATTTTAGGCGAATGCTGCTGCCCTAAATCATACCGTACATGTCCTTAGTTGCAGTAATGAGATAGGTTACATCAATACAAGGTACTGTAGCACAATTTCCCGGTCCTGTTATGCGCAGGCTTTCTATTATCCGATGGTGACTGAACCAGTATTCACGAAGTTAATGCCAGAGCGACACTTCAATTGACGATATATCGCTCTTCGACCAGAGGTAGAAGAAGTGAAGCATGGCTACTCCTTTATCCTTCACCCCAAGCAGCTGTGAGCACCCGCGATAATGCAGAGCTGGCGCCATTGAGACAGCAGCCAGTCACCGGGTCCGCAGACAGGGTTTTCCGGCACCTGTGCACGTCGCCGACCCCTGCCGGCGGTAAACTCTTGGGCGGATCGCGCTCGGCATTCACTTTTTCCTGTCGTATTGCCTATGCTAATGACCGGCCAGGGTTGTCGAGACCGTGACATCACGGATCGCTGGCAATTCGGCGAAAGCAGCACACATACGGGCGCATCAGTCGTTCGATGGGGCCGACGCCGAAGGCGCCTCTGAACTTAATTACCCTGGACGGTCTCACGACGGGCATGATATCGATTCCTAGTCGCCGAAACGCCGTGCTTCAGGTGGCGGTAATCTATGCTTCACACGCCTCATGATGTGGCATCCTGTGATGTGAGGATCTCGCTGCCTCTGCCTCCGTTCCATGTACCCACTAGGGTCCGTTCATACCGTAATACAGGGACCATGAGACGGCCAATTTCCACTTCGCTATCCAATGAGAATTTGGACAGCTTACTACCTTAGCGCACAACATACGACCTTTATGCGCGCATCAGTCGTGATACACCCTTTGTGCCTCTCCGGCGGTGAAATGCGACGCGCTATTGGTTCAGGAGCGAAGGTTATCCGCTGCAAGTAGTCATGATTAGTCGCCCACTAGCACCTCGGAAGCTTTTTTTTTCTCGATCGTCGGTCGTACGCCTTTCGCCGAAATGGAAACAACTGCATTGAACCTTGTCTTTTGTACGCCGTCAAAGCGATCGGCCGCCGTCCTCTGACCTCCTCCGATGGTCCATGGAAATCTCTCTAGTGTTACAGATCCCTTTGGTACCCGCCGTCTGACTCAGCTCGCGCGCGGGACAGCTTTCCATCTTTGTCCGACGACTGTCGTCGAGCTCCGAACGAAGCAACGACTTGCGTCTACGCGAAGTTATACAATCTGACAGGAGCGCGCTTGTGGCTTCCCGTACTACTCCCAGCTGCGCATATATATGAAGAGCTGCCAGCTTCAGGTTATCCCAGACACCGGCCATGACAAGTGAATCTGAGTCCTCTCGACCTGCACAACTTCCCAGGGGAAAAGCATGCTTACGTTGCCGGTATGCCTTTGACCCACCTCACATGGCTGTCACTTACTTCTATCGGCTGCGGTTTAGGAGGCGCAAGATGGTTAGTAATATAAACGTCCCCATTTCATACCATCGCACTCACGGACTCGGGCTTAGAGATGTAATGGCGAACGGCCGTCGTGCCGCCAGTGTGTTCAAGCTGGCATACTAGATTGCGAGTTCACAGATAACGGACCGACCCATTCCCAAGTACTGGAAGAAAATGTTGCCGATCTCGAGGCGCGGATACAGGCTCTACAGGGCGACAGCGGGCCGATACTTCTGCATGATCCGCACCAGTCACGTCTATCGCCCATGGGCTCTTCTTCGGGGAGCACGAGGCACGAGGCACTGCAGAAAATGTGAGCAGGCCGCCCATTGTGCAATTCAGCTTACTCACTACTTTCCAGCATCCAGGCATTCCTCATGGTCGGGCCTACCTTCGGCTTCTTTTTCGACTTTCCCCGGTTTATGCCACGTCTACGTTCCTCACTACCCCCAACTGACCGCACCCCTGTTTCTGCGCTGCTCGTCCGTACCATCGAGCTAATCGGCACCCACTTCAGCGATGACGCTGCAATGCGTCAGGGAGAGGAGCAGAAGCTGGCTTCTGTGCTCCAAGCCATCCCCGCCAGCCTTGATCGCAGCCGTCTCATGGACACACTGCAGGCGGAGATACTGCTCGCATACTACCTCTTGCACAGAAATAGACGTACGGAGGGCAGCTACCATGCCGCTGCTGCCGTGTCCATCGCCGTCGCATGCAAGCTGCACAAGATCCCTTGGGGCGGCAGCAGTCGGCCGTCTTCGCCTGTGGACGACATCGATAACGGGACCCGCCTCCGGGCGTTCTGGACGGTCTTCGCACTCGAGCGGACCTGGTCGACGTGGACACACTCGACACCCGCGTGGCCTGTCGAAGTCGTGAATCACGGAGCGGTATGTGATCGCATCGAGTATATGGACTGCCTTTTCATTTTCCATCAGGAGTTAATCAGCGGTCTCGGACAACAGGGTGGGTTGATGATCCAAGACTCTGTTCTCGAGTCGAAGACCGAGATGCCATCCGAGACACTGCTGTTGTTGCGCCTGAAGGCTGCCATTTTGTTCGCTGAGGCGTCTCGCGTTGGCGAACGGTTGAGTGGTGCGTGAGAACGCGCGCTTACTCACATCGCTTATGCCTAACATGGCCCAGAGATGCCAGAGACCAATCCAGAGTTTACTGATCTTGAAAGCCGGATAAATACGTCATTGCACGTCGTCTCCGCGCTCGAGCTTACAAATCGACCGTCGCACTACCAGTGCAGCCTGCTCCTTACGCGAACGCTGCTGTCTTGTGCCGTTCTTCAGCTGCGAGAATACGTTTTCAGCCGCGGGAATGACAGTGACGTCGTCATGGTTCATGCCGCGACGACGGCCGTTGATGGTCTGAAAAACATGAACGTATCTGGCCTGATTTGTGTAGATCCGGTTTATGCGGTATGTGGCACTGATAAAGCGTGCGTCATAAGTTGCTAACGGACAACTTAGCCGCTCTGGGCCATGGTGGGCCGTACTCTGATACAGGCGTTGACAGTCTTGTCGGGTACTCCGACCACTGCGTCTATATTCCTCACATCTTCGGCTCCGAACGAAAGCAAGATTTCAGGATCGCTGGCCTTACTTTTCGAAAGTATGGCTTCCTTTGAACAGACAAGCCCACTGATTAGTGAGTGCGCTGACTTTCGTGTCCGCGTGAAACCTCGTTCTGAAATTGATGCAGAGGATGAACTCGAAAAACTTCGAAAAACTGCGCAGGAAAAAAGACTTGCAGTTATGTGAGATCTTCCAGAGCACTAAATTCTCTGTCCTCCGTCTGTGTTGTAGAAGGCTGTAAATGGAGAGGATGATAAGCGCTTACGCGGCCGCAGCGAGCCGACGCCACAAAGTGTTCGGCATTCTGGCAAATCTCCGGCGTCCCGACATCTCCGAACCGTAGTATCCCGAGGATTAAATCCGAGCTTCTAAAAATTGACGCGTCTCCAGTGCATGACCTAAATTTTGGATGCAATCGACCACTCAGAGTCTTACAATGAATCGTAGTACAGAGTCCATAGCATTATTCGCGACACAGGAAAAGATGGCATCGTACTTACTGCCAGAGTATGGTTCTGGCAGGTCTTGTAAGCAGTTAATCCATCGCCCACCCAAACGCTCGCTCGCACTCCCTCAACCGCTCACATACCCGCTTCACCTTCTCATCATCCACGTTGGCGACCGAAAACCGGATCCACTTCCCCATACCGCCCTCAGCACGGCCTCCCTGTCCCGGACCAAAGAAGCCCGCGGGCAAGCAAAGCACTCCAATATCCTCCGCCAGCTTCTTACATACATCTGCGGCATCGACGTCCTTAAACGGATGACGCACAAACGCATAGTAAGCGCCCTGGCTCCCAATGTGCCACCGCTCGGGAAGGTGCGCCCTAAAGAGTTTGTGCCGCGCGTCAATCGCCCGCGCAGTTTCCTGGACAAACGGGCGCAGAGAGGGGAGCAGGGGCGCAAGTGCACGCTGAGGCGGGCGTGGGGCGCAGATCTGTATGTTGTCGAGCGCGGTGTTGACTGCCGAGCTCAGATCGTGCGACGAGACGATCAACCCGAGGCGATGCCCAGGAATGCAATATGACTTGGAGAAGGAGAACAGATGGATCAGTGTCCGCCGCCAGTTCCAGTCTGCTGGTAGGGCCAAGCCAGACGGAAGTGACTTGGGGAGCACAGGCTTGTTTGAGAAGAGATGATGAGGCGGGCCAGTACTGATGACGTCGCGGTAGGTCTCGTCCATGATCAATGGGATGGAATGTTTGTATGCCAGGACAGCGAACGAGGCAATTAGCTCTGGAGAATACACAGCACCTGTCTGCACGTGTACCACATTCAGATCGCGTCCAGAGGATAGCATCATGGCGACATACTGGGTTGTTCGGTGTGACCAACACGACCGCGCGCGTCGAAGAGGTGATCAGCTTCTCGCACTCCTCGACTGAAGGCTGGAACCCCAATTCCGCACGTGTTCTCAGCCAGACAGGCTTGATACCGAGCATGGAGAGCGTCATTCTAGCGAAGGTCATGCGCTGTGGTCGCATCGGGACGGACAGAACTCACTCATGGTTGAAGTACCTGCTCGCTGTCAATGCGTGGCACAACGCAAAGGGGACATACGACGCACCAAGGGACCGGAAGTATAACTTCGTCATCCTTCTGCGCAACGGCCATGATGGCGGCCGTGAACGCGAGGTTGCAGCCTGCCGTGATAAAGACGTCGTCTGCCGTGACGTCCGTGCTCTCGCCGTACACTGTCTTCATCTCCGATGCGACAGCATCGCGCAACGCTGGTTCGCCTGCATTGGCCACGTACCCACAGCTCTCTGGGTCCGAAGCCGCAAGTGCAAGTGCGTCGAGCAGGGGCTTCGGCGGAGGTATGCCCGGGACGCCCTGTGACATGTCCAGTAGCGGTCTTCCTGGCTGAGGCTTGTACGCCTCCGCCCATTTGTACGCCTGCGGAATCCTTGGATGCAATCAACGGAGGGGCGGATGGTAGAGATCGATGGACGCACGGCGGCTTGCTTGTGGCCTGTATCGACGGCGCGATGCGGAAAGCGTAGCTAGACATCCTTCGTCTGAATAGTTGGATTGTCATAGTAAGTATCAGAGAGGTGATCTCAGAGGTTGAGTCGTGGAAGGAAAGACGAAGACCATACAGGGACAGAAACTCTTGCGTCGGGACAATGCGGCTCACAATCGAAACAAGTCGCGTCGTGACTCTGGTGTGGGCTCGGCAGATGCCGCATCGTAGGCCTGGCGAACATCTTCTCACGACCACGAGATAAAGAATACAGAGTAGGATATTACGAGAACACATGTCGCGACACAGAACATACAACAAACACTCAGTCAACCTTCCTCGCCCATTTCCTGCCAGGCTGCTGACGCGTCGGTGTGGCGATCGAGGTAGCAGGAGATGCAGGTTGGATAATCACCTCGACCCTGCCATCCTCCTGCCAGGCAGCGGCAGGGATTTTCTCCTTCTCACTCTCCTCGAATCTGCTTTCAACAGGCACACCCGCGTCCTTCCCGTCCTTGCCCCAGTACGACCACATCTGCATACCGAGGACGATGTTGAGGATCAGCGCTAGCGCAAAACCGGCAGTGAGGATCGGGTCGCCGACCTCAGCGCTGGTCGTAAACAGCCGCGCCAGGCATCCTGCAACCTGCGAGATGACGGCGAAGGCAGAGAGCTGACCCGTCGAGCGGGCGCGCGCGTTCTGTCGTATCTGTGGGATCTTCGAGAACAACGACAGTGGGATTGTCGCCATCTGGAGAGCGGCAAGCGTCGGCGCCGGTGCGGCGTACAGCGCGATCCCGCCGGCCGTGGTCAGCGCGGTGGCCAACGCGAGGCGCGGGCCTGACGATTGCGTTCGTGTCAACCTCGAGGAGGGGTAGTGGAGGATGAGGAGGGTGATGATGATATTTTGGAGGGTAAGGAAAAAGTTCTCGCCGTAGGTTGAGAACGGGAAGTTGTTTCGATATGAGTACGCGAGCGTGATGGCGTACGCTAGAGTTTCAAGGACGTAGGCTGAAAGGGAAAGTCCTCGCGCTGACTTCGCGGAGATAACTATGAGGAAATTTGTGAGTTCGCAGCGAGCGAGCACGTCCCTGATGGCCTGAAAGTAATTGCAACTCACTTAGCAGGAGCTGTGGCACCTTCATAATCGACCCGCCGACCACAATCCCAATGCCCAGCCCCTTAGAAAGCGCATACTTCAAGCAGTCCATATCCCCAAAGTTGAGGTTCTCCACAAGAGAAACATAGCACTTCTGCAGTAACGAGTCAGTCAACGGCTGCAGCATACGTTCAGAAATGAATACATACTTCTCCGACGATAGCAACTCCAAGATCCTTTACAAACCACGGTAAATTACGAGTTATAGAGGTCATCGTGGAAGTAAAGTCCAGTTAAGCTCGCAGGCGAAGTCAATTAAAGGACAGCGAGGGTATATATACGAGCCTATATCACCCTTAGGCGTGGAAGGTGTGTGTTTGCGGTGCAGAGACGTGTCGCTCGAGGTCTACGGTGTAGCACCGTGACCGCATGTTGCCCTAATTTAGCTGATTTGTGACCAAAATTTGACCTGAGTATCGCGCTTTGGACCAAGCCTGGCTATTCTACGGAGACTGTCGTTCTTAACCACAAAACGGCCAGTGTGTTGATATATAATCCATCTGGAGTACAAGTCATATATTCAACTTTCGTTCTCCCCTCAACATGGCCGAATACGACTTGACACAAACCATCGTCCCGTACCTCGACCGCCATCTCGTATTCCCTCTCCTTGCACATCTTGTAGAGAACGAGCTCTTCCCGATTAAACAAGTGCAAGCCGCCCAATATGAGCTGGCGAAGGGAACGAACATGGTGGACTATGCTGTAAGCTTGTTCGAGCAGCTAAACCCGAATGAAGAGGTCCCCTCAGGTGTGCCCGATCCGCATGTCTTGTTTTCCTATCTTTGACCATTCACAGAGTTCCAGGGAAAGCGTGAAAGTGCTGTACACACAAACGAGCGTCTCCAACAAGAGGCCCAAGCTGTCTTGAACGTGATTGAGAACCCAGAGGTCGCACAAGCTCTGCGGCAAGACAAGAACCAAAATCTGGCATACCTCAAGGAACACTACGGTGTATGTCCCTCATCTCTTCTTTCTTGCTGATAAAAGTACGAACTGCTGCTTGGGCAGGTCACCCTCGAACAAATCAATGCGTTGTACAACTTCGGCCAATTTCAGTACACCTACGGAAACTACAGCGGTGCTGCCGACTACCTATATCACTTCCGTGTCCTCTCTACAGACCCTGATCTGACCATGTCCGCGCACTGGGGAAAGCTCGCTTGCGACATCCTTACAGGAAAGTGGGAAATCGCTCTCGAAGAGCTCAACACTCTCCGTGAAGCCATCGACTCCCGCGCGCCATCACATCCCGCCTTCTCTACCTCCTCCGCATCTGATCCCGCGCTGTCTCAGCTGCATTCGCGTACCTGGCTCCTGCACTGGTCGCTCTTCGTGTACTTCAACCACCCTCAGGGCCGGACGCTCTTGCTCGAGACGTTCCTCGCCCCAGCCTATCTCAGCACAATCCAAACGTCGAGCTCATGGATCCTCCGCTTCCTCGCAACTGCCGCTGTGCTCTCGCGCAAGGCATCCGCCGTCCCTGGCGGCGCTGTCTCGGCACGCGTGCGCCACTCCATCCGCGAGGTGGTCAAGGTCATCCAGATGGAAGAGTACCAATACCAGGACCCCATCACCGCCTTCCTCAAGGAGCTCTACGTTGAGTTTGACTTCGAAGCGGCGCAGCGCGAGCTGAGCAAAGCAGAGGTTGCGGTCGCGAATGACTTTTTCCTTGCAGAGTTCAAGGACGAGTTTCTCGAGAACGCGCGGTACCTCATCAGCGAGGCCTACTGCCGGATACATCAGAGGATAGATATTGGGTAAGCGGACCGACATTGTTACCAGGATGCCCCTGGCTCAATCATCATCACAGTGACCTGTCCGAACGCCTCAACCTGTCTCGCGACGAGGGCGAGAAGTGGATCGTCAATCTCATCCGAGAGACCCGGATGGGCGCGGACGCCAAGATTGATCTCGGCAAGGTATGTGCCATTGGTGAATGTTGTCTATGGCCCTGCTCAGTCTTTGTCCGCAGAACGTCATCGAGATCAACAGGCCGCCACTGCCCATCTACCAGTCGGTCATCGAGAAGACCCGCGGCCTCGCTTTCCGCACGCAGGCTCTGGGTGCGGCAATGGCGCGCACGGCCCAGCCGCAAGCAGAGACTCAGGCCAACAACGTAGACCCGCCAAAGTGATCCGAGGTTCGCTACTTGTGCATGTATGTGACTGTATCCAGGGTCGTTTGTCAATGAAACTCTGTATTTCTGTGCCCGCAGCGAAGGGCTTGGGCATCCGAGGCTGCCCCGTGTCACACGCTCCACCACGAGAGTCGGAAGCAAAATTGCCCCCGATACTTCCATGGCGAGCTTAGACCTCTACGGTGGCCTACGTTGTGGCGTGCCTGAGTAATCCCTCCACGTAGCTCGCGAAATATGACCAGAGGCGCTACTGTGTCCATCCGCATTGTAGCTCGTCGTTGGAGGCTCGACATTGAGACCGCTTTTCGGGGTGCTGCTTCTCCCAAACCCTGAGCCCGAGCCAAGCCTACCCGCTTCCTACCACAGCGCTAACGAGTCTGTCTGTGAATGTCGGGTTCCTACTGCATGTTTTTACACACCGAATCGCAGACTTCAGAGGGTATGCAGCTGCAGCACAAGTCAAGTCGTCTACAAGAGAGCGCCTATAACGGACATGCGCCACCACACGGTAGTTTTGTGTGTCCAATCTAAAAGTACTAATGCCTCCGGTACGTGCATTTTATGTCGCTCATACCATATTTTGAAGCATTTTGAAGGGTCAGGGAATATAGCGATAGAGCCTTCGGGTCGGCTGCAGGGAACAGCTTGCGCAGAAGCTGGACAACCAGCTGGTTGTGCTGTGCGACTGTGACACATGACATGCATGACAAGCGGTCCCCTCGGCTCCGCGGGGCCGAGACGAAAACGAGATGCGGCCCAGGATGTGATCGAGATACAAAAATTTGTGACCAAGCGAGAACGAGAATGTTTGAGAATTTAAATCGAATTTGGGTCCTGGAGTTTCGAGACCAAGTCATGAATAATAATGTCACAAAGTGATTGATATTGTGCACACAGACAATCAATAACTCAAGTGCGCCACTACGCATTTGTACAAGATAGCGTGCCACAATGGATGTCGATGAAATCGAGGATATTTTCGTGCGTGTAAGCACATCCGAAAGCCGCTGAAAGAGCTCCCGTGATATCCGTGTGGCGCCGTCATCAGCTGAGCTGAGACAACGGCAATAATCAGTTCTCAAGTACTTATCGCACTACTCACGAGTACTTGAGTATTGATTATTGCCTCAAAATGCCGAGGTACTCAGCCAAAGAAGCCAAGAAGGGAGACGACGAAGTTTCAGAGCATGTGCCGTCACAGCACCCAGGCAGCTTGACGGAAAGTATGATGGATCTGAAGAAAGCGAGGAGCTCGCTCGGTGGGCAAAGTAGGCGCCAATTACACCTCTTTGATCTAATTGCTACATACGGTAGTGTACCTGAGGACCCCGAGGCTGAGACCGCCCAGAGGGGACTGTCTCATGGTTGCCTCCAGTTCAAGATGTTTTATCCGCCTACTTTCGTCTGTCCACCCGTCAGCATCGGTGACCCCCGAACCGTCAGCCGAGGTCCATCGCGTGCAAGGGGCTCGCGTGCAAGGGCATATGATGCGTATAAAAGCCTGTATGGGATATGAGAGCAGGCGCACTGCGCCGCTCTACTAGATTTACCCTGGAACAACACGCCGTTATGACTGCCCCTTTGCACGATGTTGTTTCCAAGTCATTTGACTACATCATCATCGGTGAGCCTCCTACGATACTGAGCTTTCGAGTCGACCTACCTACTGTTGGCGCAGGTGGCGGCACCGCCGGTCTGGCCTTGGCGGCGCGCCTTACCGATGATCCTAACACGACGGTCTGTGTTCTTGAAGCTGGAGACGCCAACCTTCACGATCCCGCCCTCTGTGAGTAATCTTGGCATTTCCTGTGCGTCCAAGCGCCTACATTATCATCAGTGACCCCCGTATCCTATTTGCGCCACTTCGGGGACAAAGACTACGACTGGAATTTTTATACAGTACGCGACATCCGTCCGTTGCTACTATTACTCTACTGACCCTGCCCTTCCATTAGACCAAGCAGAAGTTGGTCAGCGACAGGGAATTTCAATGGAACCGGTACGCACCCCCGCCGACGAATGTCATCTGCTGCTAATGTCTGTGACAGCGGTCGAGGCCTTGGAGGGTCTTCAGGCATCAACTTCTTGATATGGACAAAGCCACCTGCTGACGAGATCAACGGTACGTAGCACCTACTTTGTGTGGGTGACCCTACGTCTCAAGCGTGCCTCTTGTCGCAGACATCGAGCGTCTAGGAAACCCCGGTTGGAACTGGAAAAATTTTCAGAAGTATTCACAGAAGGTCGAGCGGTACGTGTTCGCTGCAGCCGCAGATATGGAGCGCTCATGATGGATACCCCAGGTTCATTGAGCCAGCCCCTGAGCAAAAGCAGAGGTTCGGTTTGCCCGGATACGAGAACGACGTCTCCAGGCAAGGTGTGCCGACGTGTCTCTGGTCCCCAGCGAAGCATTCCGTCTCATAGATCACTACTTTTTTAGGCTCCGTCGCCTTCGGATTTCCCAAGACCATCAGCGATGTTGATCTTATTGCACACCAGGTGAGCCTTCCCGTAAGAAGTCTACGCGCACCTCTAAGAACGGGCACCAGACCCTGGCCAACGCTGGCATTCCGCCGGCGCAGCGACCAGTACGTACACGTTCTTCACGTCTTTATTCTGATAAACGAAGCTTACGAGCCACTGTAGTATGGTGGGGACGTAAGTGAAAGGCCGCATATATTCGCTGTAGTAGCTTATAGCTTGGGCTTTGCCTAGCCGAGTGGATATGCATGGATGATGAACAGCCAAGACCCAAGGACTGGCACACGGTCATATGCCACGACAGTGAGTCTCTATCGTTGGTTCGCATCTCTTAGTCTCTCACGCCGGGACAACAGGCATACTACCTACCTAACAAAGACCGCAAAAACCTCACCGTGCTTGTACGCGCACTGGTTAGCAAGATTCTCACCGAAGACGGCGCCGACGGCAAGCTGAACGCAGCGGGTGTTGAATTCATTTACGACGACACGAAGACATATGTCGTGCATGCGAAGAAAGAAGTCATCCTCTCCGCCGGGTGCGCACGATTACGATTGCCCACTCTTCGAGTTGCGCTGGCTGATGTCCCTCCAGAACCATAAAATCTCCGCACATCCTAGAGCTCTCAGGCATAGGGCGGCGCGACGTGCTCGAAAAGGCCGGCGTCCCAGTCAAGATGGACCTGCCAAGAGTGGGCGAGAACGTCCAGGAGCACTACCTCGCCTTCTTCACCTTCGGTACGCACGTGCGACCGTCCAACCGCTAGAACCGCCGCTGACGTCCGCAGAACTGAAATCCGACTACGACGGGGCGACCTTCGACTGTCTCCGGACGCCGAACACACTCCCTGCGCAGCAGGAGCTCTAGTAGGCAATCTCTCTCTCTCATCTTTTCCAACCCCGCGCGCGCGCGCGCGGCCTGTCTGACCGCGTCCCAGCAGCAAACGCGGCGAGGGCGCGTTCACGATGGGCATGCAGACGTCGGCCTTCCTGCCTGTCGAAAAGGTCACCCCGAAGGCACACGAGATCTACGCCAAGGCGAAGGCGCAGGTCGAGCGGCTCGCCCGCGAGGGCATGCCGCCCGGCCTGCTCGAGCAGTACACGATCCAGCTCGAGCGCCTCGAGCCCGGCAAGCACCAGACGGGACCGGGCTGCGAGGTCTTCTTCGTCCCCGCCAAGATCGTGCCCGGTAAGCAGGCGTGCTGCCTTTCTTTCTTTCTTTCTCTGAGGCTCCGTGATGACACTTGCCTGCGTTCAGACATGCCGATCGAGGGCAAGAAGTTTGTCGACTGGTTCTACGCGATGAACCACCCCTTCTCGCGCGGGTCCATTGTGAGTGTGCGCCGCAGCTGCGGCTAGAAGCGAATGCTCACGTTGTGGTGTCCAGCACATCACTTCCAGTGACCCCGCCAAGGCCCCACAAATCGACCCTCGCTACTTTGATCACGAAGCCGGTATGTGTGTCCAACGTGTGCTGTATAGAAATCCATACGAACTTTGGCCCCGCACTGCAGACCTCGACATAATGCTGGAGTCGGCCAAGTTTGTGCGACGGCTCGGTCAGACGTCACCCATGAAAGACATCATAGGCGCGTTTGTTCTCTCCTGATCTCCATGTCGGCGGCTGACAGCCTAGCAGAGAAGGAAGTCGTGCCTGGCCCGGAGGTAGCGACAGACGAACAGCTTGTTGGTAAGTCCCTGGTAACAAGCGAGGGCGGGCATGGCTGATCCTGCCGTAGAGTTCGCAAAGAGCATTTTCGTAACAACCTGGCGTACGTGTACTACCTTATCCATAATAGCACACCCGGCTGATACCATTCGCTGCAGATACCTGTGGCAGTTGCTCGATGTTGCCGAAGGAGAAGGGCGGTGTTGTTGATCCCAGTCTCACGGTTTGTCTATCGGCGTTACGCAAGCTGTACGGACCTCACAGACGAACTCTCCCAGGTTTACGGTACCAACAACTTGCGTGTTGTCGACATGTCTGTCGTGCCTCTGCACTTCACCGGTCATACCCAAGGTATTTTCTCGTTTCATGAGTATCTGAGCCGTCGACTCATACCGTGCTTGTCAGCGTTCACGTACGCTCTCGCGGAACAAGGTGCGCACGGTGGTCTGTGCTCACTTCCCTGCGAGTGACTGATCAGCGTTTTCTATAGCTGCCGACATCATCAAGGGTAACTTCACGGCGTAGATGGTGGCTAAGCCAGCATTTTCTTTCGGTATCTTGTCAGTGTTCGGGAACGGTTTGGAGAGTTTGCGTGTCGAAGTTTTTGTGTAAGCTCATGCTGGTCCTGGTGAATTGACTCATGTTTCTGTTGTTGGGACCCTTTCCTAAGACATACCGTGCTTCCATTCATATGACACCGCATCCGAGTCGTTTGATCCGTTCGAACTGTTATAAACACCGCATGGGAGTCAACATCCTCAAAGAAGTTAAGTGTTGCACTAGCTAGGATCGTTCTAGGAGGGTATCTTCAAAAACTGCTACCGAGGTATCCACGACACAAGGCTACTACCGAGGCATCCACAATACAAAGCTACTACCGAGGCGTCCACAATACAAATCCAGATCGAGGGATATAACGACGGCGAAGAGCAAGAGGCTAGAATCAAAGTACATAGACTTACGGAACCAAGAATGGAGCCTACAGAATCACCGATTTCACATCCTTTTTGTCCTGCTTTATCTCCGTGACGAGTCCCAACCTCACAGCCCAGCTGTTGTCCTCATAGCCGAGCGCCTGAGTCTGCTTCAGGATGTCATCGGCCATGTCACGGCGCCTCGCGTACGGAGTCTCGCCCGTCTTTCCGACCACGCACCCAAACATGCGGAGTTTGGTCGTGGTAGAGTTACAGATGCCGAGCAGGGCGGATGACAGGACCAGTAGGCCCGCGGTCAGGATGCTCCCGAGCGCGGAGGCCTTCCAAGCGAACGCCATGGAGCCGTACATGAGCAGCGACGCGGTGCAGGCGAGGAAGCTGTCGAGAGGCTGCATCTCCTGAAGCCAGGAGCCCGCGGTGACCTCCTTGAGGTCGTCGACGGTGCCTCGCATGCGGATCCAGCGGTCCTGGCTGGCGAGAATCATGAGGTCGCCCATTTGACCCGGCTCCTTCACTCCCTTCCACCCCAGCGTCGCCCGCCGCTTGATGACTACAACATTCAGGAAACGTGCGGCCATGAGCGTGCCCAGGAACATCAGTGCGGCGTAGTCTTTCATCGCCACGAGGAGGACAGCGACGACCATCGTCGAGGAGATGCCGGCGAGGTACGAGAGGGACGCTATGGGGTCTATGTGCGAAAGGTCGTTGGTCTTGTAGACGTCGACGTCGACGAGGTGACCTGTCTTGCCGACACGCTGGAGAAACGCGACCGTCGCCTGGTTCTCGACGCGGAAGACGTATCCGGATGTCATTGCGGCGGTGGCAGGGTACTCGCCGTCGTTGACTTTGACGGCATCTTGCTGTGAGAGGATGCCGGGCACAAGGAAGAAGGTGTCGAGGAAGGATGCGCCTCCGGTGAGGGCGGTGCGGGTGATGATGGCGGGGAGGGGTGCGAACGCAATGAGGTTCGCTGCCTGGGGATAAACGAAGTCGGAGAGGTGGAGGGTGGATGCCATGCTCGCGGCGATGCTGACGGGTATGTCTTCACTTGGTCGGCGAGCTGCAATGGGCATGGTAGGTGCTGGCCAAGTGCAGAGTAAGGGGGGAAGAAGTTACGAACCGCGCTGCAGGACTGTTATATACTACCCTAGTTGAACGTGAGGCTTTTAAGTTCGAGGCTGTCCACTGGCACAACGTGTGCTGTGCGCCGTGCGAACATTCCTCGGTAGCTGGACATTAACTTAACTCTAATGGTGAGTCATCCGAGTATCGGTTCGCACCGCCAGGCTCAAGGCTCTGGTAATCCGTACGTACTTATGAGCCGGCGCTGTCGCATGTCGGCGAAGGCGCAGTGGATGATGCGCCATCACTCCCAATATGGGCGCGGGCGGTTGTGCATCACGTGCCTGCCACATAAATATCGTGTTCCCGCGGGGAGGTGGCCTCTGAGGGCTGCCAAGACCAGTTCCCCGCTCTTTTGTCTCCTCCACATTAAAAATGTCGGCTATCAAGCAAGGGCAAGCCCGAGAATGCCCAGACTCTGACGACGAGCTCGACCTCCTCTCCTCCACTTCCAACACTTTGGTCGCGTCCACCTCGAACTCTTCGCGCAACACGACGCCGGCACCTTCGAAACGCGTCCTGAGGCAAAAGCCTGGTGCCGTCAACACCTTGGATCAGTATTTTTCTGCGATGGAGCATTCGAAGCGGAAAAGAACGTCTGTTGGGTCAGCATACGCGGCTGAAGAGCCTGCGGAGAAGAAGGCACGCGCAGAAAACAAGAAACAGGTGCGCTTTCACGCAGTTACGCGCTCCCTGTACCCTAAAAACTTATACCACACAGGTTACGCTCGTTATCAACAGTAAGAAGGCCTCCATAGAAGCCGCAAGACGGCGATGGCTACACAAGCATCGCGACTTGTTCGCGCCTTTGCTCCCGCCTTCGAGTCACTTTTTTACCACGCTAGAGAAAGAGCTTGACATGTCGACCGACAGTGGGACGTACAAGCCCCTACACGAGCTAGAGAAGCAGCCCGAGCTGGTTACAGGCGGCCAGCTCAAGGACTACCAGGTGAGTTGAAACCGGCCGCTACCGAACGGGACTGACTTGCGGCGTAGCTACATGGGCTCTCATACCTTACCTGGATGTACGAGAATGGCATGAACTGCATTCTGGGCGACGAGTCAGTTGACCTTTGGTACTCCCAGCTCGTCAAACTGACACTCGTGTGCAGGATGGGCCTCGGGAAGACTCTGCAGACGCTCTCCTTGCTGGCACACGTGAAGGAACGCGTCAAGGGTACGCCCGTGTGTGAATTTTTTCTCCTCGTAACTGAAAGAAACTTGGCCAGGACGCGTCGATCCACATTTAATTGTGTGCCCCCTGTCCGTCGTGGAGACGTGGCTGAGCGTGCGTCTAGCCCATGTCCTGCGTATATACGCGTCAATCTGAACTTGTGGGCTTTAGGAAATTCGCCGCTGGGTGCCTTCCTTCAAAGCAATGCGCTTCCACGCCCAGGAAAGCGAGCGCAAGCGACTGAAGGACGCGGTGCGCACGGGCGAGATCGAATTTGACATCTGTGTCGTGACATACGAGAGCTACGTCGCCGAGGACATGTGGTTCAAGAGCCGGCGCTGGACGTATGTCGTGCTCGACGAAGGGCACAGGATCAAGAACACGAACACCATCGTGGCAGGAAAGCTCCAGGGCATCGGATGCCTTTACAGGCTGAGTGAGCTGCACCTTCCATGTTCACGCTACATATGCTCATGCGAGTCTTAGTCTTGACTGGTACGCCGGTGCAAAACAACCTGGTCGAACTCTGGGGCCTGCTGCACTGGCTGTACCCTTCGATCTTCGCGCCCGCGACCGAGCGCCTCTTCCGCGAGGCGTTCAGCCTCGAGAAGGGCGCGTACTCGCTGCCGTTCCTCAAGGCGACCGAGAAGCTTCTCTCGACCATTATGCTCCGCCGGACGAAGGACACCGTCGACATCGCCGTCCCGCCGCGCGAGGAGCTCACCGTGTTCCTGCCGATGACCGAGGCGCAGCGCTTCTGGACGTACCGCCTCCTCACGCGGCTCGACACCGTCGACCTGCAGGAGATCTTCACCGCGGAGCTGCAGGAGGAGAAGGAGAACGAGGGGCGCAGGGAGGTGCAGGCGATCATCGCCGCGCAGAACGAGCGGGCCAAGGGCGGGCAGGGCAACCGTGCGTGTGCGCCACAGGCAAAGTCTGTTCTCGCGTGGCTGATGTCTTGACGACAGAGTGGAAGCGGCTCATGAACCTGCTGATGCAGCTGCGCAAAGTCTGCGACCAGTAAGGATTGCCCCACACCCAGAAGCTAATCGACTCATTAACAAGCTCTGTTCAGCCCGTATCTCCTTCCGGATGCCGAGCCAACGCCGTACGCACTTGGCGAACATGTCGTTGCATCATCATCGAAGCTTGTTTTCCTCAACAAACTACTGGCAGACATACTGCCGAAGGGAGAACGCGTTTTGATCTTCTCGGTGCGTACCTGCGCTTCTCTTGATACCTCTATGCTCATCAAGCCTCGTTACGGCAGCAATTCGCCACGTTCGTGTTCGCTGCTTCGTCTGCTGGGCTGTACTGACCATTGTCAATTAGCATGCTAGATCTGCTCGAGGACTTTCTGACTCTGCGATCGATCAAGTATGCACGTTTGGATGGTCAAACGTGCCGTCCGCGGAGGACCCTGGACGTCAAGTTGGTACGCAACTCTTCGGCATGTTAGTGATTTAGTTTGGTGACGGTCTTCATAGTTCCAGCAAGAGGTGTCTCGTGAGTACCGAACGGGGCTCTCATTCGCCGCGCATTATGACTTTTTTTTTCCAGCTTTCCAGGTGTTCCTCATCTCTACAAAGGCCGGCGGGCTCGGCATCAACCTCACGAAAGCCACCACCGTCGTCATGGCCGACTCGGACTGGAACCCGCAGGTACGCACGCACCCTCCACATCCCAACACCAGCGCCCTCACCAAAAATCACCTGTCAACCCGATGACAGAACGACCTGCAGGCGATCGCCCGCGCGCACCGCATCGGGCAGACGCAGACCGTGAAGGTGTACCGGCTCATCTGCCAGGGCAGCGTCGAGGACCAGATGCTGGACCGCATCCGGCGCAAGCTCTTCCTCTCCCTCAAGGTCATGAACGCGCGTGCCACGGGCCCCGCGGGCGCAGGCGACGCCCCCGCCGCCACCGCGGACGACGCGCTCTCCGCGCTCAAGACCGCGGAGCTCACGAGCATCCTCCGCAAGGGCAGCAGCGCGCTCGCGCGTGGCAACGGCACCGGCGACGGCGGTGCGGGCACGGCGCTCGCACAGTTCCTCAAGGCCCCGCTCGCGGACGTCCTGCAGGCCTCGCGCGAGCGCGATGACGTGCGCGCGCTGCGGACGCGCAGGGAGCTCGGCGCGGCGGACGCGAAGCAGCTTCCCCTCGGCGATAACGGCGCTGGTGCCGGTGCTACTGCCGCTGCGGAAGACGAGGAGCGGGCGATGCTCAGCGGCGTCGCGCAGGTGCAGAGCCGGCTGTTCGAGGGAAAGCTCGTGAGGCGCGCGAAGCCTTCTTCCACGGCGGCGGCAGGGGCGGGGGCGGAGAACAAGGACATCGCCGCGGAGTGGGCGGCGCTGCAGAAGCGGGCGCGCCAGACGCGGATCGTCGTCGTCGACGGGTTCGAGGTGCTCTCCGAGTGTCTCGCGCCGTTGCAGCACGAGGTGAGCGGTGGGCGACGCGCGAGGGCCCCCTCTCCACCACCTTTTGTTTGCGGTCGGGGCTGGCTGGCTGACGACGGGTGCTTCTTTTGTAGCTGAAGGCGGCGCTGGCGGACGGGCCTGCTGCGAAGAGGAAGCGGAGGCAGTTCGACTGGGAGGACTGGTGCATCTATTGCCGTGACGGCGGAGAGCTCACGCTCTGCAACAGCTGTCCACGCGGTCAGTGTTGGAAAATAACATGACGCAAAGACAGAACCTGATGCTTGTCTTTTTTTTTTTTTTCTTTCTCGCAGTCTTCCATGCCGAATGTCACGGCCTGACCAAGGCAAAGGCAGCCAAGGCGTCCATGCTCGTGTGCCCCCAGCATCGATGCTGCGGCTGCGACCGCAACACCGCGGACGCAGGGAACATGCTCTTCCGGTGCGAGTCTCTCTCACCTCACCTTTGAACTCCCCTCGCGACCCGGCCGGCTGACGTCGTCGTGTCCCTCCAGCTGCCAGACCTGCACGAACGCCTTCTGCGAAGACTGTCTGCCCCCGGGGGAGATCGGCGCGGTCGGGGACACGCTGCCCGAATTGTACGTCCTGTGTTTTGTTGTCGTTCATGAAATCACGTTGCCAGGGCTGATGGATGATGGGTGTGCGCGGCAAATGTACAGCGTTCTCCGCGGGTTCGAGGAGATGCCGTCTGCGTATTTTATCAGGTGCCACGCGTGCCAGGAGCGCTTCGAGACGGACGCGGCCTTTGCAGAGTCGTGGCAGGAAGAGTTCCGCGAGACGAAGGAAAAGTTGGACGCCATGGGCCCCGCGTGAATATGCGTTCTGCGTGTTTTCCTGCGAAACATAATTTTCTTGTCGGTTTGTTGTCGTTCTTGCTCTCGCGTTTGTCGTGCGTATATTACCCTGATTTTGTATATACCTTAGCCTACTGATATACACGCCATAACGAATGTACCTCCCGAAAAAAAAAAATGCATTACAGAGTCCTTCATGCGAAGAAGAAAAGCGCGCGTCGGGACAGGAAAATCATAGCAAGCCTGGGACAAACCACGCCGGGACCCTCGCCGCGTACTTCTCCCACTCGGCCCCAAACTTCTTCTTGAGCTCCGCGTCCTCTGCGCGACAGCGGGTGAAGCCGACGGCGAGCCACCACGTCCACCACGCGGCGGCGCCTGCGAAGCGCAAGAGCGCGCTGAAGAGGCCGGCGCGGCCGAGGACGCCGCACTCTGCGACCCACCCGCCGGCCGTGAGGTCGATGAGGGCGACGCCGAGGCACATGGCGAGGGTGCCGGTGTAGGCGGGGTGGCGGACGCGCGCGTAGGGGCCGGCGGTGACGAGGGCGTGGGTGGGCAGGATGGTGAGGTCGAACGTGAAGAGCTCGCCGAGCGTCCGGAAACACGCGAGCCGCAGCGCGCTCCCGCACGCGACGAGCAGCAGCCCGAGCAGCGCGGCCCAGGAGACGTGCAGGTCCGGCCGGTGCGCCGCCGGGCACAGCGCCTGCTCCGCGAGCCGCGCGGCCCAGGGCGGCGTCGGCAGCACGTCCTGCTGCGTCGCGAGCAGCAGGAGCTCCGCGCCGCTGCAGAGCCAGATCAGGGGCTGCTGGATCTGCGCGCGCGCACGTGAGATTGGGGAAAGAACGTGGGAAGATGTGTGTGTGTGAGAGAGACGACGACGACGACGAGGTAGTACGTACCTTCATGACCAGGGGTGCGATGCGGATGTACCAGGGGTGGGCCGAGTCGTAGCGCGCCTTCTGGGGGGTGCGGTTGGGAGGCGTGCTCGCGAGCTGGTAGAACGTGCCCTGGGCGACGACGAGGCATGCACGTGCTACTGCCATGGCTGCAGACATCCGCCGGAAGGAAGAGAGAGAGGATGTTGTTGGGCCGCCCAAACACTATGTATGTTGGTTCGGCCAGAGGGTCCTTATATCACGCGAGGCGTCGCTCGGGGGAGCCCCTGAACGTAGTCTGTTAGAAAAGGGGGGGCCGCGCTGACGCGAGCTCGGTACCTGTGGGCGGACGATGGGTCACACACTGTTCGGCGCAGTGATTGCCACTGGAACTCTGTGCGACGTGGACAGGCTTCTGCTGCATGGGAAGACGGCTGCCGGGGGTGGGCCGAGCCTCTGGACTCTTCCTAAAGGGCCCACACACGAACGAGAGGCGCATGTCGGTCGGGGGTTGCCTTGCTGCGGCGAGGGATGGTGGTGCCCCTCTGCTCTGTACTCCGCGGAGCTCCGCCGCGGCGGGGGAGGAAGAGGACGGCGGAGGAGCCCCCCCTCGGAGACGAGGCCAGACACAGCAGGGCCTGAGAACGGCTTGTCAGCCGTGCGACCGACAATCGCCCATTTGGCACGGGCTCGCGTTGTGCCGGGCACCGTCTCGCTCGGCACGCTGCATGTGTGAGCGAGACGCAGGCCTCGTGAGTGTCTGTGGTGCTGGCCAGGCTCAAGCTCAGATTAGATGGCGGAGGAACAAGCTCAAGATCTCGGCTCTCGCCGATTAGCGAAAGAGTGCTGCTTCACACACGCGGTGTTATGAATATTGAGCCTATCCGAGTGGTGTTTCCGCGGATCAATGCTCGGGAGGGCTGAAACAGATGTGCGTTGACCGTGTCGAGGAGACAGGAGCAAGACCAGGGCGGAAGCAGACGAGACGCCACAAAGCGTGGGAAACGTCCTTGCCAAACCAAACGTGGCTGCGCGTCCACCATGCTTCATTCCAAGCCGTCATACTTTACATTGCGAGCTTCCTCATCCCGGCCACTTGCAATAGAAGCTGCCTCACATGAGCAAAAAATGACTCACTTCAGAGCTTCGCGACACCAGTGCCCTCGATCCACCCATCAAGCTCACCAGCGATCTCTTCCCCGTTCGAGAGAATCAGCCAGTGGTCCGCCTCGTACTCTTTCGTCGTCACCCGGTGCCCTCTAAACGCCTCCTGCCCAAAGACCGCAAGCCCAGCCTCGGCCACGCACACACAGTCCTTCTTCGCCGCCCCAAAGTACAGTGGCGCGTCCACCGGCGGGAACAGCCGCTCCTCCGGGATCTCTACCAAAAAAAAAAAAAAAAGGGCGCGTCAGCCTAGCTCCCACAGCCCCCGAACCGCGCATCCACGCACGCTGGTCGTCCCTCGCCGCCAGCCCGCTCGTCAGCACCTTGTACCAGCACGTCGGCGCCGCGAAGCCGTCCCGCCGGAACGTCTCCGCAAAGTGCGCCGCGTCGCCCGCGGACCAGTACGCCGGCCGCGGCGCGACGAAGCCCGCGCGCAGGCTCTGCTCCAGCGCGCCCGTCGGCCCGAGCCGCGTCTTCCACATCTCGGGGTCGTGCGGGAAGAGCACGCTCACGAACGAGTCCATCTGTTGTTGTTGTTGTTGTTGATGTCGTCAGCGGCTGCTGCTGGCAAGGGGAGTTTTTTTATTTCGCGTGTGCAACGTACGTGTGCTTGGATGATCGCGTCCGCGTCGGGCTTGCTGAAGAAGGACCAGAAGCCGAACGTCTCGCGCCCCTGCCGCTGCTTCGTGTGCTCCAGGAACACCTCGTGGTCCATCGGCGGCGTGACCTGCACGAAGGGCACGGCGAGGAACGCGTAGGCGAGGAACCGCCCCGGGTAGTGGTTCGCAAGGCGTGAGACCACCAGCGCTCCCCTGCCAGCCGCAGCCAGCGTCAGCACCCGTCCGCAGACCCACCGCCCACCACAGAGAGGAGACGACCGGCGGCGAAAGTCTCGAACACTCACCAGTCGTGGCCGACGGCGACGACCCTGTCGAGCTCCTCGGCGTCCAGGACGTCGACGACGTCTCTCGCGAGCAGGCTCGGGACGTACGCCGCCGGGTCCGTCGGCTTGTCCGTCCCGCCGTAGCCGAGCATGTCCAGCGCGAGCACGCCGTAGCCCCTGTCCTGCAGCAAGGGCGCGACGTGCCGCCAGTCGCGCGACGCGGACGGGAAGCCGTGGCAGAACAGCAGCGTCGGCTTCGTGCGCTGCGCACGCGCGAAGTAGTAGTGGTACGTCAGTCCGCGGGCGGTGACGGTGTTTTTGTACTGAGACGCGTCCATGAGAGCAGGCTTTTTGTGATAAGAGGGGAACACGGCCGGCCCCCCCGCTTGCTCGTTTTTATGTGTCGCGACGCCTGGCAGCGCCCGCCCGCTTAGCAGGGTACGTGCATCAGAATTCGCAATGTGGGAGCTAGAGAGAAGAGGCTGCAATAAATAAATAAAAAGCTTCTTCGATCAGCATGGGTAGCAACGCAGGGAAAAAAAAAAAAGAGTCCAGACTCGTGCTGCTCGAGTCCGGGTTGGTTTGATGGCGCATCAAGATATCCCGCCCAATTACTTAATATGGAAATGTACGCATCAGCATATGCGTACCGAACTATATAGCTGATCTACACTCTGACATAGGAATCGCTCTTCCACAGCGCAGCCTCCGGGACTGTCTCCTTCTGTCATCACAGCGGCCGCGCAGTGGGCTTGACTCCTGGTCCTTCGGTGCGGTAACACTTTGCGAGCCTCTAGGTCGTGCCCCACACGTGCGCAGGTACTCACTTCATCATGGAGCAAAGCCCCGCACGTCTGGAGGCGATCACGGCGCACGGCCTTCGGTGAAATGACGCTCTTCATGCTTGGCATCAGGGACGTCTTGCTGAGAACATGTCTGGGATGAAAGAGCCCCCGTGCCTTCAGTTTTGCAGGGAGTGTGGGAAGCTGATAGCCCCGGCCACACACGCGCAGTTGTTGTCGCTGATTGCGCCGGACAAAACGCAGCATACCGAGAGTGTCTCTTGACCTGCCCGTACGGGTCTGGATTGTGCTGAATCTGCGGCAACGTTCGCACAGAGCTGATCACTCCTCCATTTGTCGCGCTGATCAATGGACTCGAGACTCACCGCAGTGGGCTTCGTCTCCTTCTGGCCCTCCTCGTCATCTGTTTCTCAAAAAGGGGGCCTGCGCTCATCGAGCTTCTCCCTTCTGATACTGCCCTACCGAAGCTGACGACCTTCTCTGACCCATCTCTTATCCTTCCCCCAAATCGTACTGCACGTCCGGGCACGGCCTCGGATCTGAGTCGACCGTCTCGCCACACGAGCCGAGCTCAACAATCACCGCCGCGCCAGACCAAGATCCAAAAGCCTGCGCCCTGCGCCCGCCGCGGGGTGCCCGCTTCGCTGCGGCCGCACCTCCGCACGAGACCCAGTGGCGCACCATGCGCGGTAAACTTGAGTGGCCTCTTTCCGACGCGGCCTCTCGTGCGGTGCGCAACGGGGCTGCCGAAAAGAAAATTTCTGTACAAGAGTGTGGCATGGTACCGAGACGTCGTGCGCAGAAGGTGGTGCTGTGCTGCCACTGGCGCGCGCGCCGTGGGACGATATTGCTTGCTCATGAGGCTGTTCCAGTCGAGGTGCTGCTTCTGCGACTGAGGGTGGTATCCCCCGCTCTCTTATGCTCGCTGCTCCTACCGGCTACGTCGCCTTGGATTTTGCTCATGTCAAGGGTTTACGGACGGTGCGGCGGCGGGCCTGTAGCAGAATCGGGATCGGGCATTTTCGGTCACGTGCATGGCACGTGACCGTCGCGACCAGTGCCCAAGCGCTCTCAACCCTTCTCGTCACCCAGCTTCAAGCCAACTGGGCGGGCTATGCTTGCAGTGGACAGGTCTGCGTCAGATGTGGCTCTATCTGCGCAGGTGGAACGATCGAACTGCTCTGAACATGCAGCCACGTAAATCCGCACCTCCACTTCGTCGCTAGACATCTGCTTCCTGGCTCGCCACACGACTCGCGGGTGGGCTGACGCCTTGTAGTTGGATGCTATCTGACTGTCCAAATTTGCGTAAGGAATTTGCAAGACAAGGCCGACTAAATTTGGACCGGCCACATCTATGCTATGGCCCGGCGGCCAATTGGGACAAGATGATCGACAAGGCCACTTAGGCCACCGTTGCCACAGGGTTTCGGCCGCCCCAGTCTTTGGCGGAAATATAAAAGGCGCGTCTGATCGCTTCGTGTAAAGTTCATACCTTCGTTTGGTTCCGACATACCTCATTCGCATCTCGTTTATCCCACTTTGTCACAATGTCGTCCGCGTCCAAACCCGCATCCGACAAAGCCAGACACGCCCACCGCTTGTCTGCCGACGATTACGATCCGCAAAGGCCTCACGAGAAGGGAGTGTCTTGGTATCTATCTCGCGCGGCCGCGACTGAGGCGCCACGCGACAAAGATCCCGGGCGCCGTCAGGCGTCCGAGTCCGGAGAGTACCTGCCTGCCAAGTCCCGAGCCTCCTCTTCCGACTCAGGGTACGCTATTTCGGTTGCTCAGACCAGCCACAGTTAACACGATTTGCGTTATTTCTGTAGATATTCCGAGTTTGTTGACTCTGGCCAGGCCTGCGACCGCTCGTCTGTGGATGTTGCCGAATCTTCCCCCAAGCAACTCGGAAACCATCGCCTGTCCACATCTGCCACGGGTACCAGAATTTCAATCCACGATCAGAGGCCTCTTATTCGCGCCGTTTCACAGCGTGCTCACCGTCCGGCTCCTCCTGAATCTGCCAGAGAACAAGCTGAGGCCTCTCGTTCGACTGGAGCAAGCGTTGAGCGGGACCGCTCCGTTCGTTCTCGGTCCAACTCTGAAACCTCATGTATCCGAACGTCTGGAACAATGCACCTCGCACTGGCGGGAATGCCTCAGAGCGAGCTTCCAGGGCACCGCTCGCGATCCTCGACAATGTATCCCTTGGCACGTAGTTCGCTCACACAAGATGCAATTGCCGCACCCGCACCCTTCGCTTCCGCAGAACCAGGCGTGAAACCACCTTCGTCATTCTCCAAGCCACTGCCCCGGATCCCTGAACCCCTGCTATCACCCCTTTCGCTCTTCCAGCCGTCGACGAGCCAGTTCAAACATCCTCAGTTCCAGTTTCAACAGCGCGCCCAACCTCCCAATGTGATTTTCAAGCCGCCCGAGTCTTCTGAGCCTTCTCTTCATCGCCGTGCCCTCAGCAGCAGCAAAAGGAGTAACCTGCCTACGGAGGATGAGCCTACCCCTGACCCACTCGCGAGGGCGAAAGCTGTCTATCGCAGGAGCAGCCTGGACTACCGCTTCGATGTCCGCGAGATCTTGGACGCACTCGAAGAAGCGAACACCATCTTCCTTCGCCACGACGTCAAGCGCGTCAAAGAGATCAAGAATCGCTTCGTCGCCGCGGTACAGACCGGAATGATGCTCCTGAACACGCTCCCGGACGAGGTGCGCACCTCCGGCTCGGTCCGCCTCGCGCACAGCGAGGTCGTCACGTACGAGAACGTCTTCTCGAGCTTCTGCTCGAACATCAGCGGGAAGCACTCCGATGCGAAGCTCGAAGAGCTCTTTTGCCTCGGCCCGCAGCTGCTCGCGTTGCTGTGGACGAGCCTCGGAGAGCTCGTCAAGACCTGTGCCGCTGTTCTGGATGCCTACAACGCCACTCCCGAGACATACGCACACCTGGAGGCGTCAGACGGCGAGGCAAATAGCGAGAGCGTGAAGACAGTGCAGTCGGCTCTTGCCGCTGCTCTGCGGCGGGGCAATAGCAAACGCCTGAAAGGGTTCTTGTCACGCGCCGTCCGAAGTGTCCTGCCAAAGACCGTCGCCAACGACTCCACTCCTGTAGGCTCTACCCCGGCTAGATTCTCGTGGATTCTGCTCGATCAAGAGGAGGTTCGCGAGCCGAAGGTTGGCCCGTTCGAGGAGTCTGAGGACAAGATTGTCACAGCGCTGAACCTCGAGCTCAAGTCCACCAAGCTCGTCTTCGATACCATCACTCGGCATTTCCTCAATCACGATACTCCTCACCCCCGCTACTCAGGTAATCAAGATGTGGTCCTCGATGCAAACAATCGGGCTGCGGCCATGACAATACGGGCGCTGGTCAACGACATCGTCGACGGCTTCGCATCAGACTTGCCCGAACTGGACATCGTTGCGACCACGGACAGCTTCTTCCTCTTCTTCAGGTGCTTTACCCGAGGGCAAAAGGTCATGGACCTCCTCTGTAACCGGTTTTTCGCGCAGCTTCCTGTAGAGCTGGAGGGCGATCTCCCAAGCAGCGCGCGCTGGAAGGCCGGCCACGCCGTCACGAAGATCCAGGTCGTCCGCCTCCTGACGTTCTGGCTCGACCACTACTACCTCCCCGAGGCCGACGCCGCGCTGCTCCGCACGATGCGCGAGATCAAGGACGCAGTCGAGGCCGACGCGGACCTGCCGCCGAACACGTCTGCCGCGCTCGGGATCAAGCTCGTCGAGTGCCAGCGCGGGTGCCCCGGGCGCAAGTGGCCCACGTTCCCGCCCGTCCTGGAGCGCACCCTGAAAGAGGGCGAGAGGAACGCACCGGCCTTCGGCGACTCGGGCTTCTCCGCCTCTGCGGTCCGCGCGATCGACACCGTCGAGCTGTCGCTCATCGACGTCCTGTTCTTCGACACCGAGGCGGGCGGGGCTGAGGAGCTCGCAAGGGCCTTCACGCTCGTCGAGTCTGAGATCTTCCACGGGGCGCTGCCGTACGAGGTGTACTTCCACAGGGAGGACAAGCCGCACCGCATGTTTGCAGCGGCTGCTGCGTGGTCGAATGCCGTCTGTCTGTGGACAGTGCAGTGCGTCGTGGACAAAGCTAGCATGACGGACCGTGCGAACGCGTACAATCTGCTGGCCAGAGTCATGAACGTAAGCACTTTTCTCATCAGACGCGGCTCGCACTTATCAATATTTCCCCATAGCGATGCTTGGAATTGAGAAACTACTCCACAGCGTACAGTATCTGGAGTGGACTCTCCTCGGCCGCGGTGACGCGTCTAACGAGCACTTTGCGCGTAGGTGGCGTACTTTGCTGCTCCGAAACTTGCTGCTCACCTATTTGACCATAGATGGCTGATGTCTTGTGCAAGACGATGGTGCAGGAAGTCGACCGTTACTTCCACCAGTCGGGTTCAAATTACTCCACATATCGAGCAGACTTTGCCAGCTCTGTGGCGCCCGCTGTCCCCCTTTTCCGTAAGTGTACTCTTCAGCTCCTGGGCCCGTGCTAATGCCTTTGTACCGGACTGCCAGATGTTATTCAAGGCGACATTATCAAGATCTACGCCCGCAGGCGAATGGTCCGGGACGAGCTTGGGCCGCTGCCTGATAGTGCTGATGGCGGACGTTGGGTCTTCCCGCAGTATCTGAAGCAATTGCGCAAAGTCGTCCGAGGTGTGTTGTCACTTACCGATCCTAGCACATGTCCTAACGCGTATCAAATTTGTCGCAGGTCTGGAGAAATGCTACGTCATCTACGGTGTGCCGGCGAAACCGGCGGTCAAGAGCTGGCTGGAGGCGAGCGTAAGCAAGCTCTACGATGTCGACTTCGAAAAATACATGGATAAACTGGGATCTCAGCAGTATGGTCTCGAATTCGTTCTCCTCTTTGTCTACTAACGTGCTGGATTCTCTAGAGTTGCAGAAGAGAATTTCTGGTTTGACCGCCGCGTCTAACGCGTCCAATTCACAATTTTATCTCTGCTAATCATCTTATCAATTCACGTCGTCGTTTTCATATCTAATTGTTTCTTTACTGTCTCAATAATCAGTTCTGCAACCCACGATTTTGCTGTAACGATCAAATCTTTAACGGCTTTATATATATACAGCTTCTACTCGGTATTTTTCAAAGGCCCGTGCTACTTTGATAGGCTACACCTGCCCCATTTGTTCACTTTCGTCCTTCTCCAGGCTCTCCTCATTCTCTCATTTCTACCCTTCGTAACAGTACAACGTCATCTTCTCTCTCATTCAAACCTGCAAGGGTTTCGTCGATACCTAAGTTTCCGCGCCTTGAGCCAGAGCTCCCGTTTCCTGATCTCGGCCTGAGGGTATGCCTTGTAACTGCTCACACTTGCCTGCGATATCCGACCCTACAATTTCTTGCTGTCGGCTCAAAGGCTCGAGGAATGCACCTCGGGCCAGTTCATTTGCTTGGAGCGACACGTGCCCGTGAATGTGATACTTCCTATAGTTGCACCCGGGCCACGTGCAGACAAACGGTCTTGGCGACATCTTAGCATAGATATCCATTCTCCGAATGGTACGAAAGAGACGGACTGCGGCGGGTTGAAATGCATATTTTCAATGTGGTGCCGAGCGGTTTGCTTGTCTGATGCCTTGTATATGCAGCGAGTGCCCATCATAACCCCCCAGGCGCACCTATACCACGGTCTGTTATCTTCGTCGCAGGCTCTCTGAACATATTGTTCCCAGGCGTCATCTGCGGGCGCGCCTTCTACAGGCGCACGTAGTGACCACACCCACAACGACAGAAAGGGAACAGACTGCTTCAAAGACAGCGAGGGCATAGATAGTCGAAATTCCCGTGGGAGAGCTTCACAGTCGGAGTCGCAGTCAGTTGTCGATGGGAGATTCCACTTGTGGACTACTCACGGAAACCGAGCACACAGACACGCGATGAACTCACACCAGGTGGCGAGCTCCCTAGAGCGCGGAAGAGGACCTCGAGAGTGGAGATACACTGAACGGCTGGCTCATTACTCGTATTGACATGTATAAACGCGCGATCAAGGTTTGCAAGCGCGCCGGATTGTGCTAGCCAGGTGAGGATGTATTTGGAGTAGCAATGCTTGACCCAGCTTGTGTACGCGTGCACTACCAGCTTCCTGGGGCGGATGGGAGTCGGACGAAAGACCGAGTCGCTAGGAAGCGGCCCGTCGGGGAACGTATTCGGTGCCCAGCGTAGATCAGAGAGTGCGAGTTTCTCGACGCTGGGCATTGCCGATATGAGTCGTCGCATATCTTGAGCCGTGTGGAGTGTAACGCGACAGAGCGATAGCTCTGTGACTGTGATGAACTTGCGAAAGCAAATATCGACTGGTTGCCCTGGGGGAAGATGGAAGGCGCTGTCGCACAGCTGAAGATGTCGGATACGATCGAGCTGCGAAGGAAGCTGGATGCCGTTTGATACAGAGCTGGCCGGTTGATTGACGCACCCACAGAGACAGCTTCGACGCGCTCTAAGACAGCCGGGATGCTGCCGAGGAATTCTGTGTGTAGATCACCAAGGGAGAAATCTACTTTAAGGACGCGCAGTAAATGACACTGACTGCGGGGGACCATGAACGAGCAACAAGGGAGCACGCTTTGAGAGTATCTGATACTTCTTTGTGCCGAACCTGGAACCAGCAGCAGGGGCGGCCTTCGGCGACGAGGTCTATGATGTGTTCACAGATCGTCACCGGAATGATGGGTCGAGAGCAGAAGCACTTGCAGCCGGCTAAGTGAGTAAAGTACCGGCTGCTGCGCGATAAGCACACAGCCCAGTCGGACTGCTTTCCGCTCCGCTCCTCGCAAGGCAAGCACATAAAATTTTGAGAAGCGTCCTGCTCGAGTAATAAATTGTAACAGTAGCTGCACATACGGTTTTGGCCAACAGTCAGCGTCCAAAAAGAGGACTAGGCGATACGCACAATGCACTGCCAACCATAGTCATCATAATGTATCGAAGCTCAAGCTCTACCTAGGAGCAAAGATCCTGAGCTTTGCAGCAGGCTTTTTGAGCCATGAAGAAGCCGAGGGAATACCAAAATGGCAGACATCACCTCAGAACAATTCCCGTTTGTGGAATTAATCCAGGATAAACAGTTTGGTTCCCAGATTAGCGACAGACTGCTAGAATTATTGACGATAAGTGTAGCGCAGAGGGAAATGAGGGTTGGAAGGGTTCAAGTTAGAAGAGGGAGCGAAACGTCCGAGGACGAGTGTATAAGACGCAGTGGAGGGATCGGAGGGGGTGGGACGTGAAAACGCTCGCAGATAAGTATTCATTGTACAATCTAGAAGAGCAATGTTAGCAACTGCCGCCGCGCAGTAGGCTAGATGTCGTTCCCTCTCTTCTGGAAGGTGTTCTCAAAGATTGTACCGGGCAAGTATCGTAGTTGGGAGGCGATGCATATATGTCAGCGAGTTATGATCATTCGAGCGGCAGAACACCTTCCAGAAGGTCTGATTACTCTGCATCCGATGCGCCCGCTCTTGTCTGCATCGCTTCCCAATACCTTCTCGCAGAATTACTAGTATCATTCATAGCTGGTACTATCAGTCCCTACTATGTTTTTCTCATGACCTTACGAGGGCAGCTAGGTCATGTGCAAGAGAGGAAAGAAAAGAGAGAGAGGTAGAGCAAGAGAGAAGAGCAGAAAATCACACAGAGTGGCCGCACCTTCCAGAGCTTCTCATTCGCTTGAGGAGCGGGCTGTTCGTCGCTGGCATTGTCCCTCGTTCTCAGGCTTGACGGAGCAGGCGCGGTGACTTCTTCTTACCTGGAGCTACGCACGCAAAGCGTCCCGCGCATAATATTGAGCCATCTTTCGGTCTATGAGAGAACGAATCCTTGTGCGCTGGCTCAATTTCACACGCTTTATGCCTTCTTGTTGATGAGTAAAGTAGATACTCGCTATGCGAGGAGCGCACCTATTCCGGTCTAGTGACTATACACTGATAGAGCCCCACGATGCTTCTGAAGAATGTTATTAGCATGTAACATATAAGTGGAACATTGGATATTGAGGCCTGAGGGTTCACTCTGAGAGTGATTACTACTGGCGATATCTCCGACTCGGATCGTCTTCCAAAGTAGCCATTACCACTAAGTAGTTTATACTAGTGCTGGAAATAATGACCACACAGCGGGGTTCATTGTGATATGTCTTCTTCTACTCTCTGCCCGATCTGTGCTGCCAGAACGAGACAGACAATATTGAGGATGGTTAGCGCTAGGACGCCGAGGTGTCCGACCGTGCCGACGAAACCCTAACCCAGAGTGCTCAATGCTTGGCGCGTTTACATAAGCATGTTTTGGCTGCTGTGCTCGACCCACAGCGTACACGACGGGGGCGAGGTTCAGTGGTTTTGAAGGTGCGTCTCTTGGTTATGTATGCAATGCTCTAGCTCATCGTGCGTCGACTATGCCAATCGACTTAGGAGGGCGCCGTCGATGGACCCTCAGGCCTCAGGAGGCCATGAAGGACGCCTGCGACGCGGCTTTGACCGCGAGCTGCAACGTATAAACGCGCCATTCTACTCTGTATTATCTCCCGCTATGAGCCCCATCAACAAGCAGATCGTTTCCGCAGATGGCGCGTAGATCCACGCCCAGGGTACGCGAAGCATTTGGAGTGGTGCGGCCGATGGCGCTTGGCAAGAGGCCTCGGCGGTGCGTAACACTTCTCTTCCCCGGCGTGCAAGACAGCTGAGCCCTCTGAGACCATAGTCGTCCTCAACGTTCTGAAACATTTGCCACCTTCATACATCCGTGACGCGATCCACAACGACGGCCCTGTCCCGACGCGCTCCATCCACAGCATGATCATATCCACCCGGCTCCAGGCTACACTTCCCCCACTGTTCGACCCCGACGCAACAGCTATCTCGCCCGCGACAGTCGAGTTCCTGGACGGCTGCTTCGCGCACCCACGCGAGGCCATGATGTACGAGCAGTGCATACAGTGACTAGGCGAGGTCATGTTCGCGCTGCCCCCAACGCGTGTCATGTACGAGGCGCAGACGCACGAGCGAGACATGGCGCACTTCCTCGGGCGCATGCGCGACGTGCCGCTGCTCGTCATACGGGGCACTGGCGACATAACGGTCGACGTGAAAAAGCTCAAGGCGACTCCCGACGAGCCCTTCTCCGACAACATACCTAGCACCATGCATGCGTCTTTTGGCATCCTGTACATCAGCCCATACGCGACTTGGAGCGATTTGAACCTCAGCGATAAATGCAAGTCAAGTAACTAGCTACCACATGTTCCGGTATACGCACATACATATATAAATCATTGACTCGTTCAAACCTCGACCCCGCCTTGATCTCCAGTGTCCTCGCTCGTCGCTCCCTGCTGTAAGGCCAACTCGAATTCCTCTACTGCCTGACCGTCGACTCCACTGTCATCGCGGAACAACACTGCAGCTCCCGAGAGGACAGGACTGTTCAGTCGCCGAAGTTCTGCGACTCGGTCTTCGTCGGAACGGCCGTTGCGAGCGATGGCGAGGTCATCAGAAGGTGAGTTCTGCAAGACCTCTAGCATCCCGTCGCTATTTCTGGCTGCGCTTGCGTTAGTTCCAGCGCTATCCTGACGCAATAGGCCGGTTGGATCGAGTGAATCGTCACGACGCGAGGAAGATGACGAGCTCTGTGACGGACGCATCCCGGCAGGATTCGGTGAGTCGCTGTTGACGAGCTCATGCGCGGCTGGCTCGTCTAGGCTCGGGCCCTTTCCTCTGTCCTTTACTGCTCCGCTATTATCGTCGGTCTCCCCTGTAGTCTCCGGCAGATAACTCTCCGAACTTCGTCCACCAGCCGCTTCCTCTGCAAAAGACGGAATCGCCACAGCCAGACTCTGAGGCGCGTGGTCCTCCGCCTCGACTTGAGCTTCGGAACGAGAGGTACGCTTCGCGCCAATATCGCTGTCAGGTGGCTCCCGATGCGCCACGGGCTTCGCGTCCGGCTTGAGGCCAGACACTCCGGGTTGGGCCTTCGCGGATGGTGTTGATTCCAATGTAACGTTGGAAGGAGTTACGACATATGGATGGAATCCGGGGACGTGGGCGGGGCTCGAGGCAGCTTGATCTGCCACATTTTCTTCGGATACGCCGTGTTCATCATATGCGCGCAAGCCGGCGCTGCTCCTGCCAGAAGCCGCCCTCTCATACTCCCCCACCGAGAGTCCTGCTGCTGCAGACGACAACGAAGATGCCTGCAAAATGCTGGGATGAAGGGGATGACCAGCGATAGAGGCCGGCTTGTTCCGTTCAGATGGGTCTTCTTGCGTACCATCGTCCGTTCGGGTTATTGAATCAGCTGACACGGACAGCTCGGCGGACTGGTGTGCATCTTCTGGCGGAGTGGGATGACGGTCGAAGTCAGATGGCGACGCAGGAGGTATGTCGGTGACGAGGACGTCGGTTGTAGCAAATGTCTCGGGAACTGAGTGGCCACCGGAGCTGGGTTCGCCGGGGGTATCCGCTTGTTTGTCCAGCAAAGGACAGCCGAGGAAGAAATTGTCTTCGTCACCTCCACAGGAATGTTGTCTCCATGAGCACCCTGCGATCTTGCAGTCTGCTCGTGCATGTAAATTGCAATGTGCTATATGCAGATGTCGCCTGATCGAGCGGTCACGACCTGTGAGAACATGTCTGCGGTAGGACCTTTCAAATGCGTGGAGAAGTTGTAGAAAAAGATTGTCGTAAGGGGATGGATCTTTAACTTGATTTTCCACTGCTTCTATCCAACTGCCGTCGTATTCTCCGCGGTAGGACCAGTGGGCGCGCCGTCGGTCATGTGCTGAGATGAAATTGGCTGCGCTAATCATCCTCTGGAGTACGGCGGTGACCTTGGCAGCTGACATCTCAGAAAGCGAAGAGCTCCGAAGCCACCTGACGGAGATAGCGACAAATATTTTAACGTGGTCTCTCATCGCGCTGTCATTGGAGTCAATGGGAAGATGACACAAAATGTCTTCATAATCAGCAGGCCCGATATCATTCTCCGAGTCGAATGCTAGCAACAGTTTATCAATATCCCGAAGTATGTGATACACCGCAAAAAATGCGCAACTCACTGAACCCTTCATGCTCCAAGTCCCACTGCACTCGGCGACCATTGTCTAGGATAAGCAACAGGATGTCCCAAGACATTGCTCGCAACACGGGCCTCTTCGCGCCGTCACTGCTTCCTATTGCTGCCAAGAAACTCCTCCATGTCTCGGCATCATCCAATTGCACAGGGAGCTTCCAGCGCAGACTGAAAGCTTCGAGTGCCCACGTCCTGGCTCGGCATAGTAGCTCCTGATCCAACGATGCTCGAGCGGCAAGGTTCGAGAAGTACTCGCATTCGGCCCTGAGAAATAGCGCTAAAACGGAGGGTAGCGCGGTGGCCTCAGGAGAAACGTTCCCCAGCCCGCTCAAAGGTTCGAGTGACTGGAATGGTGTGCATGGAATGTAGAGGTAAGCTGCATCTGCTATGCGAGCGCGGATGTTCAACGCCTGCCGGAATGTCAGGATGGTTTGACGTCTATCTCCTGCATGAGCCGACTGGTCGGAAAGCAGCTCCAGCTCAGGCGCGCTCAGTGTACCCTTCCGAACAGACAAGAGAATACACCAGTCTGTCACCACTCGAATGCTGCTGCGCCACCCATCAAATATGGTAGTGCGAGGAAGTGTATCAGAATGAATGATCTGTGCGCATTCCTCAATGTAGCTTGTGACTTGGCTGCTCTGCGACGACCGTTTGACCCAGGCCAGAGCTCGCAAGAGATGAGACATTTCAGCGATATGCTCCAGAAGCCCGCATGCAACATCGGAGGGGACATATAGTTCGGGCACATTTTGCGGCGCTCCACTCTCGTCGAGAGTGGCATTAATGCGCGCAAGCTCGCGTTCCGCGGCCTCGACGAGGTCCGGTCTCTTAATTGCCGTGCTTCTAGGGATCTCGAGATCCCGGGTTCTCCATGTACGCGATATGGTAGGCCATCGTCCACGCCAAAAAGAATTGATGCGGCGAAAGGCGTTGGCGAGGACATGCCAAACACGCCACACGAAGGGACGGTCATGATAGCAGTAATTCCATTGAAATCTGATTTGACCTATCAGGTTTAATGACATGATCCCATGAAAGACGTAGAGGAATGGGGATGAGACAATATGCGCCGCCACAAGACATGCCCATGCCGTGGGTGACTTTTACGGACAGCGCTTCGACACTATCGGCATCACTGTGAACGCAGCAAAAGCTCCAACGAAGAGCGAGACGAAGACAGTGATAACACGAGCGACAATGTCGTCCAGGGTCCATAAAAGAATGACAACGCCGGCAAGAAACAAGACCATGGCAAGCTCGAGGAGGATTGGGATCGATGAGAGGACCGAGGAGACTTGCCAGTCCTCCCACGCCTCGATCCGCAGCTGACGGACAAGGATGTTCTCGCGTGGAAGCGCAAGCGGAGAGTTCCACTTGAGGTACTCGCGGATCCACTGCTTGGCCAGGATACTGAACAGTGCAGCTGCGAGGCCGAAGATGAGACTGAGGAAGAACAGGGCGTTGATCCAGCGAGAAGCGGTAGAAGGGGAGAATGGAGTGGTGAGAGTGTCAGAGAATGTGGTGAGGGTCTGATTGAGGGTGTCGGCGACGACGGTCCCAGCAGTGCGCAGCTGGGTAGCCACGCTGATGGCGAGGAGTTGATTAGTCGTATCTGTGTTGTCGGCTTGGAGCATGGGATATGTCTCGACAAGGAATGCGGTTAGGATGGCCGAGAACAGACCGGCCTGTCCGGTCAAGCAAGGTAGGTCAGCCCACAACGCACGCAGCAACGACACCACTCACAAATACGAGTAGAGTATCGATGTCGTCAGCATAGTCTTCCATCTCTCCGATGTCATTTGTCATGAGGTGGTCCTCGATCCCTGCCCAGCCAGAGAGAGTCTCACCGGGCGACTTCTGAGATTTAGAGATCAGCGAGCATTGGTGAGACAAGACGTGTAGCCTGCGTACCGAGTTTGCTGGATCTCTCGACCGATTCATTCCTCGTCATATCCCGAATCGTTTAGACGATGTCGGCATGGATATCAACCACAGGCAGAGAACATGTAGGGGCGTGAAGCAATGTGAGGCGATGGATCCAATGAGCACAAGTAATAATCAGCAAAAGAGAGTTGCCGTAGATCATTGATCTCTGCCCCCATCACTGATGCATCTGACCCCGACCTCAGCGTAGCAGATACTTGGAGTAACATTCATCTTGCAAGAGGTAAGTTGAGAAAGCATGAACCTAATCCCTTTCTTACTCTTGCCAGAAAATATAATACACAGATGACGATGAACGCGTACATTGCAAGAGTATACCAGCGCCAGCCTATGCGTGCGTGGGGGCACAGCTCCACTCCCAAAATCCTTGCCGCATTCAAGCGTCTGAGCCGCCCATGGCACAGTGAGTCGCAGACAGATGGCTGAGGAGCTTGGCGTAGATGGGGACGCCATCTGCGTGTGGCGCCGTTGGGTCGGCGGCGGCGCATTGTCTGAGGGTAAAGGTGACATGCCTTTGCGCAGAGGGCCCAAACGCTCTGACAGCTTGACTCGTTCATTCTACATGCGGCATACCACGCCCTTAGAGGCAGGTACGCACTCGTTTTCGCGATCTATGCCGAGTTCGCGGCAGCCTTCTGGAGGCACGGCGTCGGTGGTGGCAGCGAAGCTCTTTTCCGCCCATTCCACCATCGGCTACTATGATGCATCCGATGCTTTTTCGGCGATTTCTATCTCGAACTGTCGTGCGGTGGCGGCGGCGCGGGTGCAGGCAGTTACTAGTACGCATAAGAGTGCCGATACCAGCCAGCGCCTCGAGAGATCCGATTACATAAGCAGCAAACGCGCATTTACGCGCTTAGGATTCAGGCGCCGGACAGTTTAGCGGCAGAGACCCCCGCGACATCTTCAAGTATGCTCGCTACAAGAGCATTCATTAGCTTGTTCACGGAGCCGGCACAGAGATAGTCGATGAATTCTCCCTTAGCAGTACAGTCCAGTTACATAAAGCCATCTCTGCAAAACTGGCGTTCAGATCTCCAGCTCCTTTATTACTGGCCAATGCGCATGCTGTTGCATTCCAAGATCTTGGCCCATGTCTTTGAGCCGAGCGCGATGGTCTCCAATTCGTTCTTTACGGCCCCGCAGGGCGCACAGATTCTGGATTACACTGTCTTCATCGATGCCGCCACTGGAATCAAGCACTTGTTGTGCAGCTACTGCAAGCTCATGGGCGATGCAGCGACGGCGTTCCATGCGCCACCGGCCTGCGGCGGTCTGGGGCGAGGCGGCGAGGCGAGCGACATTGTCGGCATATTCAGCCACAGCTTGCGTGGTGCGTCGGATTTCAGGTTCAGCAAGTGAGTCGTGCACCGTGCCTAACACAATCGCAGAATTGTGCCACGCTCGTGCACTCGCCGCAGCAAAGGAATTTGGCCTGCATGGGACGCAGGTTTACATCCTAGAAGGTACCAGTGGTGGTAGATGCCTGAGTCTACAAAGTCTCGTCAATCACACCTGAAAGGGCTCCATTTTTCGAGAGCCTGTCCGTCCTGCCGTGAAGATCGTGCTGGTGTACCTCGTATTTCGAGTAGGGCTTGTGGTTTGTCAAGGTGTGGGCTGATATAACCGTCTCCGCTAAATTATACTGAAAACTCCCACCTACCTGCCATGATTTCGCGTGGGAGCGTTCTGGAGATGGTGCGCTTGCAAGCCATATGGAGGAAAGAGGAAGCAAAGTTCCCCCAGGTACACCTGAATGCTTTGCTTGTCGCGCGTCAGGTGACCCTTTCCCCGCTGGCTCTGCCCAAAGAGCCTCCCGTCACCCTGTGTTTTCGGACAACATACCACGCCTACCCACTTAACGTCTTCACATTTTGCATCACCAGCATCGATCCTATGACTTGGATCGCCATGGAGAAATAGCATGCCAGTACAGCCATGAAAGCGATCCCCACGTAAGACATACGTTCGTCACCTGCTCGAATTGTTCGTTCACTATCTCATTTCAATGAAGGTACCGCATCAATGACTTTGCGCTAGTTCAGTCTGCGGTGCACTACCTTTTCGATCATCGCAATTCCGCCAAAACCAGCCTTAGCTCTATGGTCAGCGCGGTATGCGGCGGTGGCGCATTCTTCCCACAATACTCCGAGACAGCTTCCTATCGTACTTCAGTAGCATGACAATGATGGAAGGTATGTGCACAATTTTCTCCTCACGAATATCATCGCTGACTGCACTACAGAGCGTTCGGCATATTAAAGCTAGTAAGCCCTAGACTGTACCTGCCCGGCCAAAGAATTAGCTGGCATGCATCCAGACTTTGGGTGTGGCCCGCAGGCCCGGCAACGGGCTGTCGGGCCTGAAGGTGACGTAATTCGACCTGCGGTCTTATCTGCTCCAATGTCGAAGACCACACGGTGCACGAGGACGGCTCGGAGGCGGACGTCGACGAGCCCGGCGAGCTGTAGAATAAGGCGCCTATAGTGGCGCAGGACTACTACGGGAGGGAGAAGGCAACGCGGGAGACATTCTTTGGCTGGCTAAGGACGGAAAACTGAATGCACATCGATAATGGTGGGTTCTTGCAGTACGCCTCTCTGTCGCGAGGGACATCGTTACCAAGCTGACTTGGTGCGCTGCCGTAGCTTTATCGAGGTGCGGTGAAGGTCAGCGGAGCACATCTGGCCAAGCGAGTTAGAGAATATCCTGCGCGCCCAGCCGGATGGGCCTATTGTCGATGCATGCGTCGGCGGGGTGCCCGGCGGAAGGACGTCGGACGAGATGATTTCGCGGGCTTGGGTTGTGCTGAGCGACAAGGGCAAGCGCAAAGGAGCTGAAGAGGCCATTATAGTGTTAGGGGCGTGGGCGAAGAATAATCTGAGCTGGTACAAGCGTCTGCGGAGCGGATTTGAGGTCGCAGACGAGGTAATATCTCGCTATCTTTCATTTTCTGGGTCTTTCTAACATGGACTGAGTAGATTCATCAGAATTCGATGGGCAAGGTCACGGCTTTGAGACGTCTATTGCAGGAGATATTGAAAGTTCAGTTACTTCAGTACGCAGACAAAGCGAAACTATACATCGTTTGTTGCAGCTGCTATGCCAAGTGGCAGCCGCCGTGCCAGCTCCATATTCCTGGCCATATGTCTTGCAGCCGTCGAAAGCTGGACACCGTTCTCCCTGTCCACCACGTTGTACCAGGCCAACCCAGTCGTTGGTCAACGATCAACTTGGCCAATTTGACACGCTCCTTCCGCAACAAGGCTTCGAGCCTGTCCGTGGCTGCTCACTTTTTGTCGCCTGTAAAGTTCTTCGCGCTACGCATGCGTCTTTGGTATACTGTACATCAACCCGTACACGACTTCGAGGAATTTGTTTCTCGACTAAAAATGCAAGCTAAGGTATTTAACCATCAAAAGCTCCGGCATGTATATAAATTGCTGCCTCGTTCAAGCCTCGACCCTGTCTTGCTCTCCAATTTCCTCGCTCATTGCTCCCTGCCGTAAGGCTAGCTCGAATTTCTCTGCTGCATGACCGCCGACTCCCTGGAACAATACCGCAGCTCCCGGGAAGACAGAGCTGTTCGGTCGCTGAACTTCTGCGGCTTGGTCGTCGGCGGAACGATAGCTGCGAGCGATGGCGAGGTCATAAAAAGGTGAGTTCTGTAGTATCCCTGGTATCTCGTCGCTATTTCTGGCCGCACTTGCATTAAGTTGGTCAATATCCTGACGCAATCGGCCGGTCGGATCGAATGAATCGTCACGGCGCGAGGGAGATGGAGAGTTCCGCGACGGACGCATCCCGGCAAGATTCGGTAAGTTGCTGCTGACAAGCTCATGCGCGACTGGCTCGCCTATGCCAGGGTTCTTTGCTCTGTCCTTTACTGCTTCGCCATCATCGTCGGTCTCGCCTGTAGCCTTCAGCAGAAAACTCTCCAAACGTCGCCCACCAGCCCCTTCCTCTGCAAAAGACGGAATCGCCACAGGCAGAATCTGAGGCGCGTGGTCATCCGCCTCCGCTTGAGCCTCGGAAAGAGAGGTATTCTTCGCGCCAGTATCGCTGTCAGGTGGCTCCCGATGCGCCACGGGCTTCGCGTCCGGCTTGAGGTCAGACACCCTGGATTGAGCTTCTGCGGATGGCGTTGATTCCGATGCAGCGTTGGAAGGAGGTACGATAGATGGACGAAATCCGGGGGCATGGGCGGGGCTCGACGCAGCGCGATCTGCATCATCATCTTCGGATACACCGTGTTCATCATATGCGCGCAAAACGGTACTGTGCCTGCCGGAAGCTGCCCTCTCATTCAGCCCCACCGAGACTCCTCCTGTTGCAGATGACGAAGAGGATACCTAGTGATGTGCGGGCCCGGCTTGGGCTCAAAGCCCGGGCTTGGGCTTGTGGCAACGTCAAGCCGAGCCCTGAGCCCGAGCCGAGCCCGAGCCCGGCCCAAGCCGCAGGCTTAAGCCCGGGCTTGCTCACAGTACAATGGATATTCTGGTGCTATGAAAAGGGAGCATGTTTGGATGTAGTAGATTATTGCTGCATGTGCTCACTGAATTCAGCCTCCAGAAGACGTACACTTGCAGAATAAGTCGAGTTGCAATGAAGCCCACGTGCGCGCGCCTATGGCAGACACCAGACGGTGATGCACAGTCGTGCTCGGCGGGAACCGTCGAGTCTAGAATATCCATATCATGTCTGGTATGTACATATTGGATCTCTCTCACCTTATTCTGAACTCAGGGGATAGTAACAGAGCCAGTGCACCCAAGCCTGGGCTTTCGGGCC